CGTGGGGTCTATCAATGCAAAAATACTGGATGTGTTTCATATTGCTCCACAGAACACCGCTTTCGGGGTCGAGACGCGAGTGAACAAGATGTCTGTGCTCGGTGATATAGATTAGGCGCAGTATAGTATAGGGGATTTATGCAATCTTTGGTTATTGTACAATAGATACCATGGTTCGTAGCTTTTTTCAAGGTCCTTCGACAGTGGCCCCTGATTGAGCCGAATTTGCCAAGTCATAATATGGGAACATCCAGAACTCCTTGTCGTGAAAACTCCTTGTCGTGAAATCTTTGAAAGTTCTCTCGCATCTTTTTGATATCACCGCCGGTCGTGTTAGATATCGATATCAATCTTGTATTGTCTTTTCTTGTTTGTGGATCTATACGCTGGAACTTACAGCACATATTACCACGACACTTACACTCATGCCTTTTTAATAATTAATACATCAACGCTTTTTAACGAATACTTACTTTACTTCATCGCAGCTACGGGTTGGGATTTATTGATTTGATGGAGTTTTTGAATGACACTTATAATGCGAGCTTTACAGACGGAAAGGTATCGGTGCGATCAGCTCCCACATCAGGGCCAAGAAATGAGATTGAGATCAGGCATGATCATGACGAGTCAGCGGAAGTCTCATCAATTAAACGGAAAGCAGGGCATAAAATCATGGAACTCACTGTAATCACATCGGTCCCCTCGACAACCACGCAAACTTCGACCGGCTCATTGATAACAGCGCCCCCTTCACTGTTCAACCGGGCAGCTCTCGCAGAACCCCAGGCCGGGTTTGACTGCAATTCACAGATCGATCAGTTCAAATCTCAAGCTTCACAGCAGAATTCTCAACAGCTATCCCAAGCAACACAACAGTTTTCGCAACAGGTTTCGCAGATATCACAGAAAGCTTCGCAATCTGTTAGTCAAGCTCTCGCTGCCCAAACCTCTGCTCAAATCGCACAATCTTCAGCACAGGCTGCACGATCGTCGGCTCAAGCCGCTGCCGATTTAGCCAATTCTTCTTTATCTTCAATTAAAATATCAGCATCATCAGCAGTGGCTGCGGCATCAGCAAGCGCTTCTAGTGCCGCTATGAGTGAGTGAACTTCCACTGGCTATACATGTCTGAGTAATATCAGGCCTACTATGATTGTGATCTTCGACGATTAGAAGAACGTTTGCTTGTAAAGAGCGCGTGTTAACTATTCATAGGCGCTTCTGCAGTTGTATCTTCGGCTCTTTTATCAGCCAGTTCTTCTGTATCCGTGGCAATTTCTTCAGCGGATGCTTCTGCTAGTGCCGCCAGGGGTATGTCGCTGAATTTCCATCCTAAATCTCGTACCAAAGCATGACTGATATCTTAACTTAGCTACTGCCACATTTGCGATTGCACAGGCCCAAGCTACAATCTCATTAACTAATGTATGAATAATACATCACAGTAACACATGCACTACATATAATTAACAATAAAATTAGTCACAAGCTTCAGCATCAGTACGATCATCACAAGTCCAAGCCATCACAGCAACACAGGCTGCAATCGCAATTGTGGGCTCCATAATCGGCTCCTCGCTTTTATCCATCCTCTTGTATTTCCTCCTATCTAGATATAGAAAACGCAAACAGAACGAAATAGAAAACAACGATTTTCCTGTTAAGAATTACAAAGAACCATTGGCTCTTCCAGTCTCAGAACGTAAACCCATAAGAATATCATACATAATACCGACTCCTCCTCCTGATGCCCGATTCCCGGAAGGAGGCCCTTTCAGTCGGGATAAATTCTGGTCAATGCGAACGTCGAAGACATTGAAGAATTTGGATGAGAGGTCAATGGATGTTCCGCTGGCTTTTGCAGGAGAACCGGAACAATCAACTTCGGAATCGACTTCGAGACCGAGTCTTGGGGGTGCGAAGAGGACATTGGTTTATGATACGGATTTTCCGGATCAGCCTCCAAAATTTGATGATGGAGAAGAACTGGGCAATTTTGGGGATGGGGAAAAGAAAGGTGGGGTGCTAGGGCTGGGTGGAGCGAGGAAGAAGGGTTCGATTGGGAAGGCTATCTGAGGGCTTTCGATGGAAGGGGATCCCGGGCTGGGGGGCATATCTCTATTGCGAGGACAGTTGACATACCTATCCACCCGAGTAACAGCAAGCTGTTGAATCGCATAGACGGTATGACACTAGTAAATCCAGATAAGCCAGTTAGAAGCCCAGGGCCTTCCTCTCATAGTGTTCTTTGTCCTCGCTGGGAATTGAACGCTTAGTGCTTCGCATTGATCTCAGGCGAAAAATAATACACACATTAGGAGATACTTATAGAATACTGTTTCTTTAGTATTCTCAGCCAAGCAAAGAAGAAGAGGAAGAAGAAGAAGATTCTCTATTAAGAGTAACAATATACATATTGGGCAAATAAACGAGGATTTAGTCCTAATGAGATACGCAACGGGACCCCGGGGGTTACCCATCGACTGGGCGTCTCTCAACTAAAAATTAAATAGTCTCCTTGGAAAGATTTATCTATTAGAACTCAGATTATACATTCATCACTTTACAATTAGTTCTATAATATGTAGAATAGTTTATAACTATATCAAGCGATTAGAATGATTTCGAAGATTATCCTAATCTCTTATTTAAGTTACATTACTCGTAAAATTGATTTAGCTATTCTATACTTTCTTTCTTTCTTTTTGATAGTTTTTCTTCTTAAAACTAAGAGTAACTTTAATTTAAGATTAGAATATAAAGCTAAAGAACGAGTGGAGTAAACCTAAGACAGCTTAGAATATACATTTATGAAATATCAACTCATTAAATTTCCTAAGAGTATAAATTGACTCACATGTATGAATATAGATATCTAGAATATTAGACTGCTATAAAAAATTCATTTTAAGTAATAACGACAACCTTAAAAGGTCTCCCGCTTAACTAGTTTTAATGATATTAAGTGATATCACATAGATTATAAAATATAAAGTACCTCCCTTTCGATGTTATCATTTAACCGTTGTAAACCACGTTATGTCATCTGATTATTAAGAATAGCTTTAAGTTTAGACGACAAATATAAGAAGATTATATAATATATTTCTCCGGATGTATTCGTACTCGCACGTCAGCGGGTATATTTATCTTTAATTGATTATACTATCAACTATAACTATCAACTACTTATAGCTCTGTACCGTTACCCTTCATCGATCTTGATTCTTCTGAACTATACATAGAGTAGATCATAGAATAATACCAAAGTACCATAAGCTAACCAAACTATATTAGTCTTGCAGTGCGGCAGAGGATCTCCGATAATTCGCATAAGGGGGCCCTCACATTTCTGACGCATTCTACCGACTAAAGACCTCACTCATATTTCCGGGGGCAGAGTTCCTTGTCAATGACATAGAAATCAGTCATGGTCCCGGGGTCAAAAATCCAGTATTCACCAGCTTTATCTGCTTTTGGTCCACCTCCAATATAGAAATGTCGTTCGCTAAATCCCATGTACCAACCCATCGAGTCAACTACTTTTTTTCCGTCCTTCATATTCGACATGACCATTCCAGCCGTTGTACCGACACCTACCATAGTGCCAGCTTGCACAATTGGGCTGCCAATCTAGCAATAAAATCATCAGCAAAACCCCCTCGTTTGTACTCATCTCCTTCATTCTCATCATCCAAATGACTTATCGAACCACGGAAATTGAATGGTTTTCGTAAGATAAAACTTACTGCAATAGCCGTCGCTGTCCATGCCGGCACTGCAACACTTGAACCGAGTCCCGCTCCTATACCCGCAACGCTCGCAAGTACTGTAGCACCCGTCGCAGCTACAAGTGCGCCCCCAGCACCGAGTGTCAAGGCTCCGATTGTAAGTCCTAGAATAGGTAAGATATTATCTTTTTCATCGAATTTGCTCTCGGTTGTTCCGTTGAAGACTTTTGCTTGAATTGTGAAATGAACAGAGCCGACGTGTCATTTCATAGAGTGGCCGGGAAGGACGTTGTTCTCGTAGTAAAGGGATCCAACTTGAGTCAAGGCCAAGGAGAGTGGCAGACATGTTCGATTGTGAATGTAGATGTCCGGCATAATGGCTGTGATGGGGTATCGTGAATTTTGATGGTTCGATGGAGAGAAATCGCGTGGTAAATATATAATTCTTTCAAGACAAACCACTACACGACTCTTCTCTTCGACCCCTCTTCAGCTCCTACGCTCACACCCCTCCGTTCATTTTGAATCCCAACTCTAATTCCATGATTCCGTAAGTTTCAAGGCCCCTCAGGGCTAACATTTTCTGTTTTTCCATTGAATTCAATAATACATGAGTCGCAAAAGGTATTAATTTTGTTCGTTAGTAATCAATCGAGCTATTCGTTACTAACGAACAAAACATTAATATCGTTATATAAACCAAAAAAAAACTGTATGAGGATTCAAATTGGATTTCTTTTCGTCTGAAATGTTGATTCTGCCAACACAGGAATAGCGTCGTGGGTCTACGTGCCGTGTCACTCATATAAAGTTTATCTGATCAACCTTATCTTGATTTGCGGGGAAGCTTTCTCGATTCTCTTCGTTAAAAGCTTCTCATTTTAGTACAGCCTTCCTCGATTGGGAATAGCACCCTCCAACATCTAGGTTCTAGACCCTTGTGACACTCTCAGCCACACCCTGGAGATGACTAGTTTATCGACCTTCTAAATCTTCTATGCAGATAAACAGCTGGATTGATGCAGTCGTTGTTATTAGCCTTAGCTGAATGTTGGGATAGAGTTATGTGTAACAGTCTAGCTAGGAAAAATGGGCGATGATCTACCTGAATATTGGTAGCGAGCTGGAGTTGTTGTTACCCAAAGTTGACAGCTCGCATTCTAGACCCAAGGAAACAGATGAAAACTCATTAGATAAGTTCAGATGGAAAACACACTGAATTGCTTAAGAATCATACTAAAAATTACAAAATACAACTCCTCGTTCTCGTGTTTCGTCCCATCTCTTGGCATGCCAAATTCCATCTTCACCTCTAATCGCCTTAGTCGAGAGCGTTCATTTCCCATACGCTACATTGATATCTTTCTCGTATCTCTCGAAAATTGCTTTTCGATTGAGTTTCATGGTCGCTGTTACTAGTTTCTGTTTTTGTTGTTCATAGTTAGCATTGTTTGACATACTCTCTCCTCCCTTCTCCCCAAGCAGCCATGCCACCTCATCATATCTTGAATATAAGTTCTGAACTATGCTCCTCTGCCACATACGACCATAGACTGAAGAGAATTGGGCATCCCGTCCGCTCTGCCATACACAAGCTTCAGATCGGTGGATTAGTAGTTGGGTGGGTGACCACCAGCGAATCCCCACTGTTGTATGTTTCTTTTGCTTTTTTGCTCCTGCCCCAGATCACAGAGAAATGAAATCAAACTCACATTGACCGTTGTCCACTCTTCATCAGCCAAAACAACACCCTTAATGATCTCCATACCAGCTAGCCCTGCTCTCTTTCCTACAGTCTGCATTTGCTTCAATACTTCTCGATTAATAGATTCATTGTGCACTAAATCACCGATGCCATGACCTTCTACACCGATTGACTCAGCGAGCTTTTTGAGGGCCGGCTCGGCTGGAACGACAATCGCGATAGGATGAGTCTCGGAGATCGAGGCGTAAATGCATATATTCGCTACTATAGTTGCGGATCGATAGACTGATTCTAGCTGTTGCAGAATTAGCATACATATGCGGAAAGATTTTGCACTATATATACCTTCTCCAAAGCAATGTACTCTCCGTTCATCGTTTTTACTAGGTTCTTTTTGCGGTCAATGATCTTCAAGTGTCCGTTTTTATCCCACTCCCCGATATCCCCAGTTTTGAACCATCCATCTGAGGTAAGCGCTTCGGCTGTCTCGACAACATTATCATAGTATTCGGACATGACGCTAGGCCCTCGAATCCAGATTTCTCCTTGTGGAGGAGTGTTAGTAGCGAAGTATCCCGCGTCGGGAAAGTCGACGAGTTTTATCTCGATACAGGCAGGGATATCACCAGCTTGGAGGGTAAAGGAAAGGGGGTCGCATATTGCGCCCATGCTGATGAGTTGTTAGTATACTCGGTTTTAGCATATAATTGGACGGGAGTTACCAACGCGGCAGTCTCTGTGGATCCATACCCAGATATCATGGGTGTGATGGTGTGAGAGATGAATTCTTGGGTTTGTTGAGATATGGGACCAGCACCATTCATGCAGAATCTCAACCGTCCACCAGTCGCTTGTTTGACTTTGTTAAATACAACAGTATCCAAAATACTAGATCCGGGTAGGCCGCTTGAGGATAGCAAACGTTTCGAGTAGAAAGCACTCCAGAACAAGCTACGGACAACTGGACCACCTTTGTTCACATTGGCAATTACACCTTTTTTGACAGTCTCCCAAACGGATGGTACGCCCACTAGAAGTGTGGGTTTCAATTCGAGGATATCACCTTTGCAATTCTTCATGGAGGTTTCGGAAAGAGTTCGGGGATGGCCATAACCCATTAGGGCACCCCAGTAGAGACATGCGTTTTCAAATACGAATTCGAAGATATGAGCGAGGGGAAGGTATGCTAACAGTGTATCTGAGGGACCTAGATAGTCGCCAACAATACTATTTGCTCCAGCAACTATAAAGATGTCAGTTTAGAGGGCGACAGAAAACTAGAATACTAACTGGCAGCCACAACGTTTTTATGCTTCAGCGAGACCCCTTTTGGTGTACCACTTGATCCAGATGTGTACATAATGCAACATAGATCTTCAGGTTTGGGCGGCACAGCTTCGACGGGATGTAAATGGCCCAAATCTATGAGCTCATCATAGCTCAAAAGCGTCAGGTGACTGTGGCTCTTCTTCAATTCTTTGATACTTGACAATGAGAGTTCTGTATCACCGTCTGTGTTATATATCACGTATTCGATGTGCTTCAAGTCTTCAAGAGAATCAAGTAGAGTTCTCAGAAGTTGTGGTTCTAAGAATATAGCCTTAGCTTTCGTTTGTATGAGAGAATGCCGGAGTCCTTCGACACCAAGAGTATCGTATGCAGTGACGATAGGCATGGATTGAGACATGGAACCATGAGCAATTGACAGCCAGTGGGAACTAGGTTCAATATAAGCTTGGATATTTGATACTCTATAATATGAATGATTACCTTGTTGTGGCAAAGAGATGAACCCGATCATCCTTAACCAATCCAAGTTTCCTCAAACCCGCTCCCACACTCAGTACCGTAGCTTCATACTCCTTGAAACTTAGATATTCATACCCACTCATCTCAAAATAAGTCCGTACTTTATCTACCTCCTGTGTGTGTCCATTGATGATCTTCTTTATCTTTTTCGTCTCCTCATGTTTCTTGATAAGTTTTCTAGACCCCAGCGCTCGTGCATCGCCAAAACGACGAGAGCTCTGTTGTATGATATCGAACACAGTCTCGATGCCCGATTCTGGTTGGGAAAGAAGGTCTGGATATCGGACGTTACGACGAGGGATAGTTTCACCCGGAACCTGTGGGATCCCTTGTGCTTCTGCTGTGAAGGGAGGTTTTCTCGACATTCGGGGGGAGAAACTCGTAGATTTAGTCTTCATCTCGGTTTGGGAAGACATAGTGAGATTTGGTAGCATATAGAAATCAACGTTTAACAGTAGAGGATTTGGATTAAAAGAAAGAACTTAGAACAGGGAGATAGCACTGATGAAGGGAACAGTTTGATATTCAATAGTATTACATTCCAAGATCTCAACCAATTTTAAGCCACCCAAACCCCTTCAATCAACGGGAATGTGACTGATGTCCTCATGGCTTTGGTGACAAGCCGAGGCTTTTCCTTGCACCTCATTCCTTTGTTGAGTTGATTGACATAAAATCACGGAGGGAGGTGTTAGGCCGCCTCCGACTTGAAGGCCTTGTCATCTTTCTCGAGAGCGAATAATCAGTGATTAATTAATACCAGACAGTCTGAGATGATTGCTGATCGTTGGTGATAGATTATAATACTATAATGAGAGTGTAAATGGTATCATCATTTGACGTTAAACTTTAGATAAAATATTATGTAGACAAGTTTTATTGATGTTTGGTAAAGAGAGGAGAGAAACATCCTAATGAGACGGGGTGAAGGCGCGCTAGGCCATATTGACACTAGAATGACTGAAGGATCCCCCTAATAGCGAAAGACCGTACAGCGAATGCGATATGCAACAAAATTCAAAATGTTGGCCAAGGTCACATTACAATCACGTGCATCCGTGTGAACAGTTGGCCCAGGTTAGTCAATTTCGTGTGATAGATGCTCACCGGGTGTTACAAAAACTCGCACTTTATTTTTATAGTGGGCACCGATCCTCATAGCTCCGCATTCAAAGTACCATCCATCTATCCACGCTTGTGCGAAAACTTTCTCCACTTGAAGTTGCTTGAATGAATGCAAAATTGTTAAAATGAAAAATCGATGTACCAGTAGCAGTATGGCGTCTTTTTGGTTTCGCCTCCATAAGCAGATTTAGAATATCTGCAAGCCCTACCATAAAAGCCTGCAAGAACAAAAGGCAAAAATGAATCGACGTCGGCATGATTCGAACATGCGCCCCCGAAAGGAATTGATTTCTAGTCAATCACGTTAACCACTCCGTCACGACGCCTGCTTGATTACATAATTTCAAGGCCGACGTAAATGAATATATATAGCTGCCAAACCACCAGGTAACAGTAAATTCGTTAGATCTCCATCAGCCAATGTGCGAAGGGATTTGCAGAGCATCAAGCAACCTACCAAAATATTATTCTCGGCTTCACCCCTAAAAGGAACGACGATCCTCTTTCAATATCAAATGGCTCACTGCATTTAAGCATCTAGGAATTACAGACGACATCCAGCGAACGATCTCTCTCGCAGATGAACTTTTCTATCAACGGAGCTGTTGGCTGCGTAAGATGCAAATATGTCCATACGGATAATAATTCGCTGTGGGAGATTTGTACACTGATTGAATTAACCAGAGTTAGAAAGTCCCTCTGACAAACAATAGACAGAAAAGAACACGCGACTAGTTGTCTTAGTATTTTGGTATTGATACCGGCTTTGCCCAAGTTACTGGAGTTTCGAAGTTGACATCCATCAACTTTCCAACATTTACAATTGAAGTGAGAGCATCCGCCTTCAAACTCGATACATAAATTCCAAGTCTATTACTGGCTACTGGTGCGGCTACACAGCTGCGCGGTGAATATCGCCAGGAGGTACATACATAATCCCGATGCTTGAGCATTCAAACCCACGTCGGCCCCGCACCAACGTTCATGCTCTCTTGCCGTTCTCGACTGCATGATGCATCGAGATGGCGAGACCGACCGGTAAGCACTGAGAAGACGGCTGAACATGCAATGCGATATCCGGCCTTCTCGGGATATTGCATGGGAACGTATCACAGAGCAGGGGCTGAGTGAGTGCCACAACAGCAATAGATTCTATAAATTCAAAATTGACGGCAATATATAATGTGCAGCTACTTCAAATACGTTCTATTCATTCGATGATAGCTATTTAGTCGGCAATACAAAACTGCGGAACACGTTTCCTTGGAAGATTGCACCCTCCTTCTTGTTTCCTTTTCCCCTTCCCCCTCCGCATGGATTGGAATCTTGTTGGCTATCCCTCAATACCCGAGACACCGGGTGATAATCTAGACATTTTCCGGCTGAACCGGTTGGAACATATTTTACCGGTCTGCCTTTCTCTATTCAGATCAAATCAAATCAAATCAAATCAAATCACCTGTTAAAGAAAAGTTATTGAAAACAATTCGAGGTGTGTTTGTGTGTCTGCGTATTGACACGACCCCCTTTTACTGATAGAGTGAACAAATAACTCGCTCGGGTTGATCATTACCTATCTTATCGGATAGTTAGAATTTATAGTTTTGAACTCATCCATCCATCTATCCATCCACGATCCATCCATTCCACCCCCATCGATCTTTTCCGCCCCGCGGCCCCTCTCATCTCAACAAGGACCGGTGGACATTCGCGTTTCGGTATTTGTTGTCTCCCGTAGAATTCTTAGTGTCTTCTCCACCTTCACTTCCGACAAAAATAACATAACACGATCAAATTGGCGACAACAATCCTTTACTCGACATGTCAAGCCGAAAGAGAATATCGCAAGCTTGTAAACCATGTGGCATTAAGAAAATAAAGGTAAAATCCTACTGTCTACAGTACAGTGTACACGCGAGAATGAATCTAGCCATTGACCAGCCAATTCACAGTGTGATGGCGGGGCTCCCGTGTGCGGTCCTTGCCTGAAGAGAAACGGAGAATGTTCTTATGGTATATCAAAACGTGGGCATTTCCCCCGGAAATTCAATGATGATGGAAGGTGCGTAATTAAGTGAACGATCTACATGTAATCCCTTGATACTTATTGAAATATATCAGCCCAAACACTGCCGGTCGTGAAAACTCATCTAACCCATCGCCTGTTCAACAACCATTAGGTGGTAGCCGCCTCCCTATTACGTGCTCTGATACACCACTCACTCTCCCAGGCTCTGTTAGGCCATCTTTAGGTTATAGCCATAGCTCATCGTCGCAAAAGAAAGATGCCGGACCAAAGAAGTATCCCTTCAATGCTGAGGTAACGAAGCGTTTGTTTCAAACTTACTTCGATTGTATTCATCCAATGTGGCCGATTCTGTACAAACCAATGTACACTTCATTCGATTATACGTACCCTTCACCAAGTATCCCAAATGTCTTAGCATGTGCAATGTTCGCTATGGCGGCTTGTGTAGAAAAGCTTCAACCTTCTCCGCAGCCATTCGATGACCCGCACGTTATGGGATCTGAAGAGCCTCGCTTTTATTTCGACGAGTCCTTGAACTTGCTACAAAGAGGCAATGATACCAGCGATAAATCTTTGAAGAACGCTTTTACTCCCTCAATCGTAAATTGCCAAACATTGACAATCCTTTCACTGCAGCAACATGGAGTAGCTGAATATTCCAGAGCGGCGATTTTCTGTGGACTTGCGTCATCAATGGCTATCGAGTTACGATTGCATAGACCTCACGAAGCGCATGGCCCACAGCGTGAAATTCGCCATCGTCTCTGGTGGAATCTATACATCCTCGAGAAGATGATTTCTTGTGAAATGGGGAGACCAGTGATGCTTAGAGTCGAGGAAACTGACACTCCATATCCCTCTACATCCGAGGCGGATGAATTTGAACTACTTCCTAGTAGAATGAAGGGACAGAATACGACTAATATACATAGTGTTGGCAAGATGCATACACTGTCAGTCCTTGTGACGACTATTCAACTTTCGGTCGTAATGGAAAGACTTTCGAGAGAGGTGTATGGATTGATAAGCCGGAGAGCAATCCGGGATGACCGGAGTTTTGGTGAAGGAAAACGCATGGAATTATGGTCTTCTTTTCAAAAGTGGGAGAGTGATACTGAAGCTTCTCCCTTGCGCTTAGATTTGAGCAGTCATTTGACATCAGTCCCTGGTATCGTCACTAACTATGTTGTAAGTGTGCAATCTGTTGATGTCCGGTCTTTGCTCACCGAATCTAGATTATGCACTCAGGGGTGATTCTTTTACATCGCCCTTTCATTGCTCGATGGATATCAAACCCTGCAAATGCCAATGCTTCAGCGCACCCACTCAAGATTTGCCTAAATAGTGCGAATGCAATTTGCACTATCTTAGAGAAGTACTTTGATGTTTTCTATGGCCTGCCATGTGACATGGTATTTAGTATTTTCACAGCTGCAAGCACGCTTTTATATCAATCAAAGCAACCAGACGGAGGTGATAATGCAGAATCACAACGTCGTCTTAAGTTGTGTATTCACTGGCTTTCTGTTCTTGGGAGAAGTTGGAATAGTGCTGGAGCTCGTCAACAGATTTTGGTAGATTGTAAGTCGTTGATTCTGCAATTCACAAATTTGTGGCTAATTTTTGAAGTATCAGCAATGCCACGAGATGTTAATATGACAACCCTGGTTAATGCAGCCGCTGCTGTCGATGCCCAGGAGTCAACATCCTCGCAGCTTCTATCTGAGCAGGAATCAATGTATACCCGACACTCGACAACAGACAATACTCCTGGCACAGCGAAACCTGGAGCAGCAGAGGACTGGGAATTCTTGAGAGGATTTGGAGATTCATCTGATGAATTTTATATTCTAGATGAAGAACTTCGAGTTTTACTTGAGAGTGATCAGCAGTGGAATCTCTAAGTCACATAGCTCAATTCGTCAAAACGATATCATTACGCTTATCAGCCTCGGTTCTATAATTCTACCACCTCTACATTTCAATAATTCCGATAGGTCCATTATATTCCCGTCTTCCAAAGCAGAAATAGAATATCGCACCGAAAAACAACCATCCACCCATGACAACCACGCTGTAATTCATGTTCTGTGCGGTGACAGGTTGCACACTCGGAAATGTGCAGAATACTATCGCCACGAGAAGCCAAACAACAGCAATAACATTGACTATCAATCCCAATGTGTCACCCAACCTGAATGGTCCATATTGGCTTCTCCTGATATTCTTTCTGCCATAGATTATCATGTAGATAATTGGCACAAGATAGGAAGCATACATTCCCAGAACGGACATCGATACGATGGCATTGAAGGCAGTACTATTTCCGAGGTATATCAGACCAAGCAACATTTCTACCACAGTCAAGGCTACAATAGCACGAACAGGTACTTGTGTGGTCGGGCTGATGTGAGCGAAATACTTCGAGTATGGAGTTGCGGAATCACGAGCAAACGCCCAATATGTTCTTGAGGTTGAGGTACAGCCGGCCGCGTTGGCGGCTACTGCAATAAAACAGACGACTAGGACCATGACAGTTGCTCCAGCGGTATTATTCGTTACGTTTTGATACAGCTGCATGAACGGGAAGCCAGTCGGAGATGCAAGTACTAGAATTACAACAACTATCAGTGATATTTCTCATACTAGACTTTCCGAAGGTCGAATTTTGCTTCATCAGGGCGTTCACAAGTGGAAAGCATGAGAAAAAGAATTGCTTACATTCGTTCAAATCGCCAAGGGAATACAACAGTATGATGCAATACCCAAGTCCCAAGATTCCATTCACAGCAACACTTCCGACCATAGCAATTGGAACATCTCGTGCGGGGCGTGGCATCTCTTCTGCTAAATGACAAGCCGCATCATAACTTTGTGGAATAATTAGCATAACGCAATAAGAGGGCTAGGATACAACTTACCCAAGGAATGGATATACAGCACTCAAGAGACCCACAAGCCATGATACCCCGTCACTTTCCCAGCCACTGGTATTCGTTACTTCGGTAAAAACAAAATGAGCATCGTGCTTGGGTGCCATTGCTCCAAGTACTGCCATGATTGCTACGAGACCGGCTAAATGTAGAATGCCTAAGACTATCAGTTCTGTTAGAATATCTTACTGTGTTTTGGAGAAAGCTACCTGACGCTAAGTTTGTGTGTGGAAGTATCTTCGATCCCCATATATTCACAGCAGCAGAGTATAGAAGGACCATCCAGTAGAATAGCATACCCTGCCATCTTGTTGGCACATAGCTGTCTGGATTATTGAGTGTTACGAGTCCTTGGAATTGCAGTCCTGCGGAAAATGCTGCTGATGCTGTAAGAACAATTTGCCCACCGATGGAGATCCAGCCTGTGAACCAGGATGCAATCTTCATCTGGCTTTTTGGGGCCAGAGCAGCGACGAAATGATATTGTCCTATGTCGTGTCAGCATTAGACAACATTCTTGAATGAGTTTGTTTGTTTGGTTATTACTTACCGCCAGCTGTCGGCCAGATGGACGCAATTTCGGCTAGCGATGATGATATCGCCAAACTCCCGATCAACGAAATACAGCTATACAAATGTCAATAAGATTAGTCTCTTTCGCGTGTCTGATATGACTTACTAGTTATAGAAAAGACATGGAGCTCCGCCATTTGCCAACGCTGCTGCTACAACGCTGGATAATGCTTCCCAAGTTGCCATCAAGCAAAGACATAATGAGCCAAGTGACCAGACCGAGAAGTCTTTGCGTAATTCCTCTACATGCCCTGCTACTAGAACCTCCCCCTTTTCTTCTTCTGTTCCAATGAATGACGGCCGGGACGCTTTCGTCATGTCCTCTTTTTTGTACTCGGTTTCGAAATCCATGTTGAAAGAATACTTAACAATATATGTCCCCGAATCAATACTGTTGAGGTTGTTCGTACGATGCCAGAATGAAAAATTTGTCAAGTAATTAACATAAACATTTCAAATCAAGGTAGACGAGAAAACGAGCAGGTGTAGGACACTCCAGGCCTATCTCTATCTCATATCAAACCTCCAGCAACAGAAAGCGGATCCTTTCCGTTATCAAGTCCATACAAGGACTGTAATTTTGAACAGTCATGTTGAACTAGTCCGAAAAAGCTTAATAAGATTGAATGCTGACGTTGAGACGAGAATGAAACGTCTGCCATGTACAATCCTCACAGCATAACAGCCTAGCAGCGCTAGTGGATTCTATTATTTGGGACAATCGGTCATGGGATTGGCGATAGGTATTAGCTAGCGATACCGGGTATTCGAGAGATACCCGTACCCGTGCTTCAATGACAGCCGAGATAACCGAGATAAACGGATGGATGTTTGTATCTACCAATCATGTGTGAGCGTGCAATCGGAATAGCTGTATTTTATGTAATGTGTATCCTTTCCAAGCCGGGTAAGTGATGGCAATGTTGGCACATAACCGATAGTCTGAAAGTTTACCAATGACTTCGTACCACGCTTTGTAACTATATTAGTTTGTTTTCCCTCTCAGCTGCTTTACATTTCACATCTTTCTTCATATTCTTTATTCAGGTTGCACAGTAAAGTTGCATTCGTCAGTCTATTCATTGGATTGATTTTTTGTCAACCAGAATTCAATATCATTACCACCATAGCACGAACCACACAAATAACCCCGCACCATGGCCCCTCCAACCTCCAGACCTCACCCCCTCACCCAACTCTCCCTTCCCGAATCCAACATAGCCCGTGATACCATCTTGGCTGCCCACAAACCAGCCCTCATATCCTTCCGCACCATCGCGCTCGAAGAACCTCTCAAAGCCGAGCTCCAAAAATTTCTAGAAATAGAACATGCCGGCGCTTTAGACGCTTCAACTCCTTATCCCAAGAGACTCGCAAGAGTAACTTATGATGTTATTGGAAGTAGTAAAATACCCAAATATCACGAGAGTCTTGTGGATGTCGAGGAGAGCGTCGAGGTGGACAGAGAGGTGGTTAGTGAAATGCATCATGCTATGTTGACTTTGTAAGTCATATTCCTCATTTCCATTTTTCCTACAACACAGCTAATACATTCTCCAAGAGGCGAATTCGACGAGCTAGTCAAAGCTGCCTGGGCATCTCCCATCTTCAAAGAAGAAGTTGCGAAGCTGAGTATCCCAGAAGGCTTCGAAGTTGTCGTCGAGCCGTGGCCATATGGAGGAAGTATGACGGAGGAAAATCCTCGATGCTTCCAAGGTCTCTGTTTTGCCCAAGACACTCGGAACAAAAACCCAGATTCGAATTTCTATGGATATCCTCTCCCTTTGATTCCAGTCATGGATTATTCCACAAAGGAGATTGTCAGAATTGATAAACTCGCTACGGGGGGTATTGAAGATGGGTTTGAAGTGGGCACGCATGACAAGGAGATCTTGAAACATTGCAAGCCGTCGGAATATGTACCGGAGTTGTTGGAGAATGGAACGAGAAAGGATATGAAACCTATTAATGTGGTGCAACCCGAAGGAGCAAGTTTCACGGTTGGAGAAGATGATAGTTTGGTGGAGTGGCAGAAGTGGAGATTCAGAGTGGGGTTCAATCACAGAGAGGGAGCTACCATTCACGATGTGCATTATGATGGTAGAAGTGTTTTGTATCGATTGAGTGTTTCTGAGATGGTGAGTTTGCTTATTTCTTGAATTGTGTTCGGATATGGTGCTAATGGTTCTATGAAAAGACTGTACCATACGCAGATGCTCGATCTCCATACTACCGCAAGCAAGCCTTTGATTTCGGAGACGGCGGCGCAGGAAACTGTGCCAACAACCTCGAGTTAGGATGCGATTGTCTAGGTGTCATCAAGGTTCGTATTTCCTTCAATCCATCATCTTAATTAATTCACAATCTCTAACAATCTCAGTACTTCGACGGCACCAAAACCGAAAGCAACGGCACCGTCTCCACAAGCCCCAACGTCATCTGTCTCCACGAACAAGATGCCGGCATCGGCTGGAAACACACAAACTGGCGTACTAACCGTGCAGTCGTTACCCGTCACCGCGAACTAGTCGTTCAATTCATCATCACCCTCGCCAACTACGAATACGTCTTTGCATACAAGTTTGATCTTGCCGGTGGCATCACTGTTGAGACACGTGCTACGGGTATTGTATCCGTCGTCTCGATTGATGCCGGTAAGACAAAGAGTGAATACGGAAATGTTGTGGCTCCTGGTGTTTTGGCACAGAACCATCAACACATCTTCTGTGTGCGTATTGATCCTGCTATCGATGGACCGGCCAATTCAGTCGTGATTGAAGAATCCCATGCTGTGGCTGATAAGAAGAGGAATCCATACGGCAATTTCTATGAAGTTGTTACCAAACAAGTAGAAAAAGCATCGTGGCTAGATGCTAAGCCAATGAACAACATGGTTGTGAAGATGGTCAACCCAGGAAAGCAAAATCCAATCAGTGGAAAGAATGTAGGATACAAATTTATGCCAGAGGCGACGCAGTTGTTGCTTGCGCAGGATGAGAGTATACAAGCTCAGCGGGCGAGATTTGCTCAACATCACGTGTGGGTTACGAAATACAAGGATGGCGAATTGTATGCTGGTGGTAGATACACGCTTCAGAGTCGCAAGGAAATTGATGGAGTTGGCGATGCAGTTGCGAGAGGAGAGACTCTAGGAAAGGATGGTGAAGATGTGGTTGTTTGGAATTGTTTTGGGTTAACACATAACCCAAGAGTGGAGGATTGGCCGGTCATGCCGGTGGAGATCCATGAGTTGAAGATCAAACCGGCAGATTTCTTTGAGGCGAACCCATCGATTGATGTTCCTAGCTCGAGAAACATGTCGTCCAAACTGGTGGGAGAAGGAAGGACGAAGAAAGATCAAGAGAGTTGTTGTAAAGCTAATGGAGTCAAGTCGTGACTGGGAGGAAGCTTGAAATAAGTGAAAAAATAGATAGCATTTGTACAAACAGCATTGCGAATTAGAATCTTCTCATCTCGTAATCTCTAAGAATATGATATATTCAAACGTGTACAGGGAATCAATACATGGACGTTTGTTGTCACCTCGTGCATCCTCGGAGAATGAGATACTGATATAAGCGCACGATAATGACCAAAAAGTTATCTACACTAGGTACCTAAAGCCTCACAAGACACTGGCTTTTCCGAAAGTCTATAATACAATGCAACATATAGCACACTTTAACAGTTGCCTAAAGTCTGGAAAGCGGAGACGAGACGTAACAAGGATGTGAGACCATCTTCGAAGCTTGAAGCATTTTGAGCGCGGAAAACAATCGCACTCCACTTGCAGGAGCAAAGCAATTCACTAGATAATCAGAAAGCGGGAGTATGATAGACGTAAGTCTTAATTCTATAATTTGCGATGTTATGAAGGCGAACTCTTTCTATCTTTCATCACAGCTGACCTCTGGCGCTATTCGTGATGTGGAGTTACGGTCTCGCTATTGGTAGCCAATCCATTATTCTCAGCCAAGTCAAAAGTAAAGCCTGCGAACTTTGCCAACAGCGTTGTGGGTGAATTAAATGGAGAATTGGCTTCATGTTGATACGCAGATATTTTCTATGGCTTTCTTGGTGAAAACAAGGGACCAGAATGCTTCGACGTCTGGGAAAACCACACGGATGTGTATCAAAAGACATCGTCAACTCATGCTCAACCGATAGAAACAGTGAATGACTTTGGCCATCCACTAACAAAACCAGACTGATCAGTCTCCATACCGGATGAAACATCATCATATGGAAAAGCATATCCCCGGCCATGGTGATTTGCTTCATGAACAAGTCGAGCATAGTGATTGGAGACCTTGTGTCGATAAAACTCTGATACTCTTTCCTTGTGTGGCTGATGATTGTTGCTTAACAGTGTCGATCGATTGAAAGCCGCACTAATACGAGCTGTAAGAGGTCCTGTCGGCCCATCATTGTTGGAAAATGGGCCAGAACTACAACTAAAGATATCTGCAGTAGATGGCTTCGAGAAAGTCGCTAGGCCAGGAAATGTTAATTGCCCGTTACCTACACGACCCTCTACCTTTCCCCATTCAGCTTGGGTGTCGATAATCAATGGTGTGTGTGTATATTTATCCCACACTTCGTTGACGTAAGATTCATAATAGCCATCAAAACCCGGTTCATGATTGGGGCTTAATACTCGAAGTTTTCGACCACCACTCTCTACAACCAATTTGTCCCACCCTGCGCCGTCAATCTGACTTTGTGCTTTTAGGCCTTCACAGATAGTCTCTAGACCATCTGCTTTCAGACCATGAATTTCTTGTGGTCTACCGTTTTCAGGTATAAGTTTCATAGAAATTGGCAAGCTGACAAAGTCGACATAACTATTGCAAATTAGCAATCTTGCAGAGTACTGGGCGATGGGCAGAACTACCTTATATTGGCATAAATTTGAGTTTGATTGAACGTAAACTCGCAAAATGCCCAGTTGGTGTTAATATTGTGATCAGAAGGATTGGTGACAGATGGCTCAACCAATGCCGGTCCTGGGTTGACAAAAAACTCCAATTTCTTGCCTATTGAGAACCAGATCCTTCCTCCAGCAAGAAGAGGGATTGTGGCAATAGTGGTACTACCTTGTTTCCCCAATTTAATAGCACAATCTGCTGAAAGTGGGTGCACAGTGTGGGGTGGGGAGTCAGGGTAATATGGTGTCTTTCCATCAGCTCTCAGTAGAAAGACACGGTTGTTATTGTTTAATGCCAGCCCCGTGATATAAGCATAAACTTCATCCGAAGGGTAACGATTTTGTAGTTGAATATCTAGAGTTTGAGGCATGATAGTATGTATGAAGATAAAGCAACAGTAGACGTGTAGCAGAAGTTTCGTGTTGACGAGTTAGTGAAGCTTGTATATGGCATATGGGAAGAAAATACAGAGAGTGTAATCTCAGAACTGTGGGGTAGTGAAATCCAGCATTTAACATGAAAATGCCCAATGACGTATGTAACAGCCGACTTTCATGAATTGGATGTCTTTAAAATGTAAGAGATAGGAAAGATATTAGACTCAGCCCCGTAATGGTGGCGCCTTATGAGTTACCGAAGTTTGGTCTGATTGTGCCATGGCACAAGTTAGAGAAGAGATGTTGATGTGTAGACGAAACCACGAGGTAAAGATTCATGCCATGGTCATTTGTTAAGTCCTTCATAGTGATTGGTTTTGCGACTTGATGTGGTGAGAGGGAAATAAATGAAGTGAAGGCAGAAGGAAGAAGGAAGGTTTGGAGAGGGTTTCTTTGAAGATGTTCAGCAGGTCCAAAGAGATATCTAGAACATAGGTCTAGTAATGAATTTGTTTAATGACGCTCCGCTTGGCCACTGCCGTGGAGGCTTTTTCGCTTCGCTCTCGAAGATTAATTTGAACGTCTTGGCTGTTGAGTGAGTAGACAAGGAAAGGGGGGTTTGTTTAAATATGTCCTGAACAGATACATACAGTATACCGTACAATATTGGAAATGTTAGGGAAACCAAAATGTGAATGGATGACTAAAGTGGTATCATGTGACTACATCATGTAGACGAGCGGTGATGACTAATAGTTCCACACTAGCCTTGCACACAAAACCCACCCATCATCTTCATAGTTTTCCACCTTTTTTTTGTCCCGAAGAACGGCAACCATCAAACATCATCAACGCAATCAACAACTGCTGCACAATCAAAAAAAGCACAGATAAACCCCTCGAGTATCAAACCTTGTCACCTTGTCATCTATTTTTATATAGGTGACGGTCTGGGGAACAACAGCCAAAATGGTATACGATTGGGATAACAAACAGGATATATGCTATAGTATGTATATTGAAGAGAAAAAGTCATTGGAGGAGATTATGGAATACTTGAAAGAAAATATGTCATTTAATCCCTCGTAAGTTTATATCTTTTTATATCTTTATATCTTATCAAGCTTCTTCACATGGCACTGCGCTACGAGCTATAATCATAGCAGTAGTAAATTATGACATCCATATCATCATGCATCATATATCGATATACCCACCCGTACCACTCGCTTTGACAATCATCGCGATTGACCGTCACTGACATTTTATAAGTAAACGCGCATTTCAAACCCAATTCAAAAAATGGGGTTTTCCTTCGAAACAAAATCCTGCACACAAGAACGAGCCACTCGTTCAACGCATCAAAGAACTATGGGACATCAATACATCACAGCGCGATATGGTTACCATTCTCGAACGAGAGGGTTGGGATATCAAGGAACGTGAACTCATGCGCGTCAGAAATAAGAATCGCTGGCTTCTACGAGTACCTAATGGGAATAAATCAAAGAAACAAACGGATCAGGATGTGGAAAGTCAACTACAACAGGCATTTTACAATAATGGAGCAATGCTAGAGGGAGAACAACAGATGGAAGGGTCGATGGAAGGGCATATGGAAGGGTTACCACCAGCTTCATCCATGTCCAAGGAAGATTCCCGAGCCGAATCCCCGCCACTTAGCCCTGAAGTCATGCAAAAGAGAAAAGAGCGTCTATCCAAGTTAGCGGCCGAATCCGATGAAAAATGGAATACTCGCAAGCGTCGTCGTCGAACTCGTGGCTGGGCTGGTCTCCCAGCAGATCCTCCAGGACCTCCCCGATTCCCTTCCGAAACCACCATCGATGAAAGCAAAAATTTCTTGAGACTTGATAATCTTTTGTATCGTGATATAAGGGCTAGATTTCAACGCATATGTGAAGAAGCAGGTATCATAAAGAAGACACTCGCTGGACCCGAGCGTTGGGAAGCTGCAAAGGATAGCCTCATACAAGAGAGTGAACATCTACAATCAGTCTTCTGGAATACGCAAGAAAATTTGGATGCAAGAAAGCTGGCTCTCGATGTTGTTTGCGGCGACGTGACGAAACGAATGCGAACATTGGAGCGTCGTATGACCATTGCTGAAGCCAAGAATGCGTTGGGGGTAAATCCAGAACAGTCCAGGGAACTTCGTAATTCTTTCTATCAGATATTGAAAGCTGATCATTTCACCAGTAAGCTTGAAGCTGGAGAAGAACACTGGCAGGAGCTCAAGACATCCTGGATCAATGGCTCAGAGCTATTACTAAATCTACTTGCTGGGGGGGACGCTGATCCTCAGCACGCGCAAAGAGTTAAGGCAATGGAGGTCTTATGTCGAGATGTCATGAAGCGTCTTCGGGATGACCAGACTAAACGTGATCCAACTAGGAAGAAGAGAAAGTTCGAGAATACTTTCCAGCCTGATCAAGCTATGGACCAATTCCACCACAGCCAAGAGGAAACTCCAGACTTTCAACAAGACCCACAGGAAGCTCTCATTCAAACAGCAGCGCATGCTCATGCCCACTCGCAGAACCAAGTTCAGTCACATATGCAAATACCAGAATCTCACATGCATACACAAGCTCGTCAGGCCCACGCTCAAGCTCAAGCCCATGCTCAAGCTCATGCTCAAGCCCAAGCTCAAGCCCAAGCCCAAGCTCACCAACAAGCTCAGGCTCAGGCTCATGCTCAAGCCCAGGTTCATCAACAAGTCCAGGCTCACGCCCAATCTCAACCTCAAGCTCATACGCCTGTTATGGTCAGCCATGGTAATATGCAGAATCACCCTGATATGCATATTGATCCATCTCAGATCGATCCATCTTTACTTAACGCAGCCTCCAATGATCCAAATTTAATGGTTCGTGGGATGCAAACCCAATTTGCGGACCCCCAATATACAGACCAACAATTTGTCAATCAAGCTGCACAAGCATTCCCATCTGTAACTCCTCCATCTCTACCAGTTTACATTCGATTGCACCCAGAATCAGAAATAACCGCCCCTAATCCGTTATGGATTGCGATGCTGAGCGGTACCTCTCTGGAAGAACTACATCGGGTAGCTACAAGCAAATTCCCAAATACATTGGTGGGTCGTGTCGCCGGATCTATGGGAGGATCATCTGAACAAGAAGTGACCATACCCATTGACAATGACAGTGAAATGGAGGCTTATTTGGGCACTTGTGTGAAGCCACACTTTATTGTTGAGTTGTTAACTGGATGGAAGAATGCCTAGACAAATGGTGAGGGGTAGTTTATTGATTGGGATCACAACGGTGTTACGGCAGGATGGGAATGGTGGAGTTTACGGTGACCTGCTTACTCTCCTATAGGAAGAGGGCCGGAGCGTTTCAAACTGGTGATGAAAGCGTGCTATATTGTATGCAACCCTTTGGTTTCAGTTTCTTAAATGAAGAACAGCGGGTGGAGGGACGATAGACTGATGACCTAGACCTAGGCATGCACTCTTTGCTCCATAGTTGATACTGTACCGTTTCCCTTCAACTGTTAATATTCTCAATCAAACCAATCGTTTTAATACAGATAATTATTACAAATCATAATTCAGAAACTTTCTCAAGATAATGATCAAAACGCACTATTCCCCGTCAGTATCTAATCAACAAGTAATTAAGCACCATGACTGGACTGACAGACTGAGCAATTGATGCAATGGATTACGTGCTGAAAATGTGTGGGGAAGCGAAGCCTTCCGTTAAAGCTTGGATGGCTTTTGGATCCTCAGATAGATAAATTATTTCCGAGCCTTGCGAGATAAGAAGTATTTATACTACCACCACCGCGCAAACCCAAAACCCCAAAACAAGACCTGTTTCTACTGATCTGCGAATTCAATGCTAAGTCCCTCGACTTCAGTCGATATTTGATTTATGTCGTTCCCTCGAAGGGTCCCTTCATCGGCCCTGCTGTCAAGCTTGCGCACATCCTCATCTCGATCCCAATTTTGTCTCCGATCCCCCGCAAGCAAATTAAGATATGCATCCACAGAGCAAAACTTAGGAGAAGGTCGATCATTCAAAGGACAACTTTACGAAAGCACCCAGGCGCGGTTGATCAAAGAACGTGCGGAAAGGCAACAGTACTCTAAGAATCGAAATGAAAGTGCTGGAGGAAAGAATTCGGCTTTGACATTCGGTGCGCAGATATTTTTTAGGTTTTGATAGCATATTGGACACTGCTGATGAATCGACTATACAGTTATCATATCGGTGGCTATAGGAGGATATTATTTCGGCTCCTACAGGAATCCCGGTGCACCTACGTCTTCCACTACCCCTCTTTCAACCACAAAAGCTCTTCGACATAATACAGGCCGCTCAAATCTCGAATCCGCGTGGGCGGATTTTGTCGAGATAGTGGGCAAGGAAAATGTTTCTACCATTGATTCAGATCTGGAGAGCCATTCGGGCAGTGAATGGTCATCTCATTTGAGAAAGCCTAGTGAAGTACCATTTATGGTGGTTTCCCCTTCATCAACAGAACAAGTTAGCGAGATTATGAAGATTTGCCATCGAAGGAAAATACCCGTTACTGCATACAGTGGAGGCACAAGCTTGGAAGGCCATTATGCTCCTACACGAGGTGGCATTTGCATAGATTTTGGAAGGATGAACAAGATTCTAAAACTACATAAAGACGATATGGATGTGATTGTTCAACCAGCTGTTGGCTGGGAGCTCCTCAACGAAGAGCTAGCGAAGGATAATCTGTTCTTCCCTCCAGATCCAGGTCCAGGCGCCATGATAGGAGGAATGGTAGGAACTGGATGCAGTGGGACAAATGCATATAGATACGGTACCATGAGGGAATGGGTCATGAATTTGACTGTTGTCTTAGCTGACGGAACAATCATCAAAACAAGACAGAGACCTAGAAAAAGTAGCGCTGGATATGATTTGACTAAGATGTTTATTGGAAGCGAAGGAACCCTAGGATTAGTTACTGAGGCTACGTTGAAGGTCACTACAAAGCCGAATACTACCAGCGTGGCAGTATGCAGTTTTGAAAGTATAAAACAAGCAGCGGATTGTGTTGGGAAGGTTGTCACCGAAGGCGTACCGATTGCCGCCATCGAAATCTTGGATGACAATCAAATGCTAAGCATTAACAAATCAGGTATGACAACTAAAGCATGGCTCGAAGCACCCACACTTTTCTTCAAATTTGCAGGGACGCCTAATGCTGTCAAAGAGCAAATCAGTATTGTTCAGAGGTTAGCAAAGGCAACGGGAAGCAAAACTTTTGAATTTGCGAAGAATGCAGAGGAACAAGTTGAGCTATGGAGTGCAAGAAAAGAAGCTTTATGGTCTGTCATGGCGATGCGGGAAAAAGATGGTGATCATGTTTGGACTTCGGATGTTGCTGTACCAATGAGTCGATTGCCGGAAATCATTGAAGAGACGAAAGCGGATTTGGCCAAGAGTGGATTGTTTGCTTCCATTGTGGGACACGTTGGAGATGGTAACTTTCACAGTGAGTATTTTTAGGATTCCAGCTTGTCACAAAATACGCTAACATTTACAGCTATTGTCCTTTACAATGATACCCAAAGACAAATCGCAGAAGAAGTAATGCATCGAATGGTTAAGAGAGCCGTGGAAATGGAGGGTACTGTGACTGGTGAGCATGGAGTTGGATTGATCAAGAGAGATTATCTGAACCATGAATTGGGCGAGAGCACAGTTGATGCTATGAGAAGGGTACGTACCAAACTATCTTGTCATTCAGCTGTATTACATTTACTAACACATTGTAGCTAAAATTTGCATTCGATCCCTTGTGTTTATTGAATCCAGATAAGGTTGTGAGGGTCGAGAAGCCTAAGCCAGGAGAAGTTTCAGAATGGTAGTTTAAAATAGAAGATACCAATAAAATAGTTTGAAGAATGTACAAACCTGGATGCCACAGTTATGGTAAAGGAATCATCTTATGAAGATATGTAATATCTATAGAAATTTAATAGTTGAATCAACTAGATAAGATGAATATTGTAATTGTAAGACATTGAATAACAATCCGCAAACACAGAACCTCAACCATACATTCCAACCCAGTCCAATGGTTACCCACTTGAGGAATCTAATGTTATCCAGAATTGGATATATTCACGTGACATTGTACCCATGCTCCTCCTCATCCTCCACTTTCCCCTCATTTTGGTTTACCTTTCCTTCCACCACGACAAACCATTTGCAATGGTTGAAACAAATCAAGAGCCCCGCAAATGGGTTGGTTATCCTTCTCCAAAAGAAGGCCCTAATATACCATTTATAAGAACGGATGACAAGAATCCTGCATTCCGAGGGTGGCTTTTGGTGGTAGTTGGATGGCTGTATGTATTCTTCCCAGCCCAGTCAGAGCTGTATCCCACTAACGTCCCAAAGTGTTTCCAAAATTGGGTTCATTCAAGGTCCCTTATGGAACAATGCCAAAATGAATGCGTTGAGAGATATCAAGGGTTTGGATGAGTACTTTGAAAGATGGGATGTAGGTCGAAGTGTTATATCCGATACGGTTGATGAAGATTAACAATGCACAAACAGCCTACAGTAATTCCACTCGCGATTGATTCACCATCTAATGCAGCATTGGATGGTTCCGATATTAAGTCCGTTCCTGTCGTCCCAGAAGACTCGGCTGAACGATATCGTTCGGTGGCTGAATACCACACCCTTTATCGTACCGGAAAATTAACACCACTAGCCGTCGCGGAATCACTTCTCCCCCTGATCAGGAGAGATATTAATCCGCCAGGAGCTTATTCCGTTGCTTTTACTGAGAGTAATGTTGAAGAAATCCTCGAAGCTGCCAAAGCATCGACTCTGCGATACCAGCAAGGCAATCCTTTGAGTATTCTCGATGGCGTTCCCACTGGTGTCAAAGATGACAGTGATGTTGCAGGATATAGAAGTCACGGAGGAAGAAAAAAGAATGATTCATTGTTCACTGCTGCGAAGGAGTCTACTTGGATCGTTCAACAATGGCAAAATTCCGGTGCTCTTATCATGGGAAAACTAAATATGCATGAGCTTGGTTCCGATACTACTAATAACAACCCAAATTGGGGCACTCCAAAGAATCCGCATAATTACCATTATTACCCCGGCGGTTCTTCCGGGGGTCCTGCTTATGCAGTTTCTTCTGGGCTAATTCCTTTTGCTCTTGGTTCAGATGGTGGCGGAAGTATTCGCATTCCATCATCATTCTGTGGTCTTTATGGATTGAAGCCGTCGCATTCACGAGTTGAGAACACTGGAAGCACAGTTACTGTCAATGGTCCTCTTGCATCAACTATGGCCGATCTCGAAGTGGCATATCGAATTATGGCAAAGCCTAATCCATCTGATCCGGTTGCTGCGCTATTTAGTCCTCCAGAACCTCTTCGAACTGCACGTCCAAAAGTCATCGGAATTTATAAAGATTGGTTCGATCGAGCCGAACCATCTGTTCATGATCTATGTACCAGATTTGTGGATCACTGTGAAAAGTCACTTGGTTATACAGTTGTCCCAATCACAATCCCGTACTGTCCTGAGGGTCAGCTTGCCCACGCTATGACTATTCTCACGAATATGGCCTTACGTGCAAAGAAATATCCATTCTCGGCCTCAGATTGGCTCAAGGATGCCACTCCCTCAAACAAGATACTTCTCACAATGGGTGCATATACTCCAGCTCGGGATTACCTCCTCGCCCAACAACTTCGCAACCTGCTCATGCAGCATCTGTCTTTCCTTTTCAAGAAATACCCCGGTCTCATCATCGTTACTCCTACTACGCCAATTCCAGGATGGGAAATAGAACACGAGGGAGACTTGCAACACGGAGCATTCGATCCAAATAAAAGTCTTAGGAATATGGAATACGTATGGTTGGCCAATTTCACGGGTATTCCGGGCATTAATTGTCCAGTTGGGTATGTGGATCCGAAGAAGGGAGAGGGTAAAATTCCAGTGGGGATAATGGGGAGTTCGGAGTGGGGAGGAGAAGAAGTCTTGATCGAATTTGGGAAGGAGGCTGAAGCTTGGCTGGGAAGGGAAAATGAAGGGGGTGGAAGGAAATTGCCGAGGGGCTGGGTGGATGTTGTGAAGGCGGCAAAGGAGAAGGTGGATGGAAAAGTGGTTGAGGGAAATTGATGAGCGGGGGCTAGAAGCGTGGATCTAATTATGCAAAGCTTCCCTGTCTAAAGATTAGGTTCGGATTTAGCTATTGCTTCGTTTTTTAGACCGAATGCTGGTGTTCAACGTTCATCCAAGCACCAGAGCATATATACCCGATCATCAAAAGCATGTCATATCGAACCCAGCAATTGGCTGAAATCTTTCTCTATCTAGAGTATTGACCTTCTCTATGTTACCACTCATATCCGTATCCGTTTCAAGTGAAGTTTGGTGGAGTTTGAGTCTTTTCCTAGGCAAGATACACAATGTAGTCAGAATTGCATCGCTTCAGGTTAATTCGGCTGATTATAATACCAGGCAGTTTCGAGTATGCTGCCACAGCACGGTGTTAAACGCACTATGTCTATGCACGTTCCAGATAGTTGATGTTCTATTGCAACTTCCCAACAGCTATCGAAGTTCTACTTACTATAGCCAATATTGTCCTCGCAATACATCCGTCGCTATCCTCTTGATATAAGCATCTGACTGATGTGTTTAAGAATCGGCCTATTGAGTACGATCTCAATCCATAACTCAAGAACAGTCGCTTGTGGATGTCGTGGTAGTAGAGAGAATCTTTATGTATCGGCTATTTGCAGTGATTTTAGTCTGATAAGTTTTGTGCTTGGATCTATCATTGCGTTTGGGTCATTCGCTTCTTGTATTTTACCTGCGTAGTTCGGTGCTGTTGATTTGTGGATGATCTTGCATGATGATTGGTCGATGCAGCTCCAACAAGATTTTTGTGTACAAAAATCAGAAAGTTGAACAATTTGTCAATCATTTTTGTAATCTCGAATGCCAAAATGGAAAAAATACCAAGAACTAAGGAAAAGTTACATTCCTTTTAGTTGTAACTTTGCGGCTCGATTTCACTCGAATACTAATCTCATACACTGAAGTGAAGATGTTCACTAATCAATCGAAAATGGGCTGGTTGGTCAGCAAAACGTCGAGTACTGATTTTCTTATTTGGTCAATTTGGCTTCGATGAGATTTGATTGGTAAGTAAGGTGGTGTTTGGATTGGGAAGTTGCATTCGGGAAGCTGCAGCTTTCGACGCTAATTTCTCCGCTTCGGTGGTTTTTTGGGCCACCCAATCGTTCTTTCTTTCCTTTTTGAACTTGCCAAATTGCGCGTTACTGCATTTGAGAAAGTTCTCAGATGTTTCTGGGATCTCAGAAGCCGTGAACCTCGTGGAATTAATATACCGGTGCCAAATGAAAGGACAACCAACAACTTCAAATGGCATCTCTGGACAAGTACAGTGAGATTTATCATTCCCTATCGAAGCTGCGCGTGTCATTTGAGCAAGCAATTCAAAATTCTTAGGATGGTTCATCAACCTCTTGTTCAACCGGCAGATCAAACATGATTTCGTGCCAGCAGATTTCGATTTTCTGCCTGATACCGAGCCTTGGATTATGTATATTGAGAATCATCTGTCATGGCAAGTGCTGAAGGCATACGTCTGGCGGTGTGGCAGTATATGCTGTACCTTTGTTATTACTCTTGTACGAACGCATTGTAAGGCTTGTGTGGCATCAAGACATTCAGAGATCATTCCAGTGGATGAAATTCGCGCAAAGAACGCCGAATCAGGCTTTCTGAGGCTTAGCTATGTTGTGTATGCCTCGCGTACAGTTTTCTTTGCTTCGCTCTCTATCGTAGCATCTAGTGGCCATTTAGTCCGTTCAGAATGACCATCTATGTTGAGCCTTATCATCAAACATTCCCCCACCATCTCAATACCTATCACAAAACAGAATATTGCACACTGAGCCAGAAATTCAAGATTTGGATTTGGATTCTAATCACAAGATGGACCCGCTATCAGTGAGCGCCAGCATCTCTGGATTGATATCCATTCTCGACATCATAGCTGGGAAGAGTTACAAATATGTCAAAGAAGTCAGGGGATCGACCCAGGAAGTCAAAAAACTTGTCAAAGAAATGACCGATCTATACGGCATTCTCAACCAGTTACGCCTAGTCGTCTCACGTTTTGACGACGAGTCAATCTCTTCCACCATTCAATTCCAGCACATAGATACTTGCCGAACACTACTTGACAGGATTAAAGAAAGATTAGATAAAGCTGACCGCGACAATATCGGTGGTCAAAAGTCGGCGATTGGCCGGAAAATTTCAAATTTAGGGCGAGCTCTTATCTGGCCTTTCAGCGTCGGTGAAACCAGAGCACTCATCGATGATGTGACGACACAGAAGTCTACTTTGATGTTTGCGCTTCAAGTGGATGGAATGAATGCGCTATTTGATGCACTCAGTGACCGGAAGACACAAGGACTAAATATAGAAGCAATACAGGCAAATGTGCTTGGCCTAAGGAATGAGAAAGCGATATCTATGTTGAGTAGGTGCTTCATCACAATTGTATTTCTTTGCGTTCAAACTAACGTGTTAATTTTTCAGACCAGAAGCAGAAGAAGATTATTAAATGGATAGCTCCATATGATCCCAGTCAGAGGCATCAAGAAATTGCGACGAAACTTCGACAGCCAGGTACTGGTCAGGTAAGGAGAGGCCATTCCTGCATGATGTTCTGGAAGATCTAGCTAAGAAAAATTACAGTGGTTCACTAAGGGAGATCCTTTCAAGTCCTGGCTTAATGAAAAGGCATCGAAGTTGTGGTTGTATGGTATTCGTAAGCATTCGTTCTGTTCTCTCGATAAACTTACCCCAGTCCAGGAATCTGTTCTGATGTTTGTCTTAGCTGGAGCTGGAAAAACTATATTAATGTATGTCATCAAGTAATCAATTTCTGGGCTAGTCTGCTTACTCGAAATAGCAGTTCTACCATCAGCTGTATCTTTGACCAGCTTGAAGATGGTGATTGTACGCGATTTCCAACTCTGACTGAACTTGACTTAAAACTAATGAGAAACTTCTTGCTTTCTAGGTTTAGCATTCTTTTATTGCGATTACAAGGATACAAAGACACAGGACCCTCTAAACATCTTGGGTTCTCTGGTTAAGCAACTTGTGTTAGCCGACCGCCGCGGATTTGCGGAGCTAGAAGCATGTTGGGTCAATTGTTGCCCAGATGAGGATATTGGAATTTCGAACCCAATATCGGCAGAGCATCTCTGTGAATCACTTCGGAATATATCACGTTACTTCGATAATGTTCATCTTGTTGTTGATGCTCTAGATGAATGCGGAGATGGTCGTTTGGATATTGTACGTCTTCTGACTGAGCTCAACGCTACCAAGGACAGCAATATCAAAATAATCTTGGCCTCGCGGCCCGAGCCAGACATCGAGAGCCACTTGGTAGATTTTACAAAACTCTCAATTGAAGCGCACAGAAACGACTTGGAACTCTATGTACATTCAAAAATGGAGTGTCTTCGTGAAACCAAAAAAATCCCCTGGAACCAAGAGTTGAGAGAAGAAATCGCACAACGGCTGGTGGATGAGGCACAGGGTATGTGTAAGTTATATCAATCTAACTAGTTATCTAATACCAAGTGCTGACTTTTAGTCCGCTGGGTAACATGCCAACTAGATCGGCTGTATGACATCGATACCATCAGAGGTGTCAGGCGAGCTTTGCATTCACTCCCGCCGACATTATTCGAAACCTATGAGAGAATACTAGACCGTATCAATCTCAGCAGTGGTGAGACCAAAGAGCTTGTTCGTCGAGTCTTGATATGGACTGTCTGTGCCGTTGAACCACTCTCGTTGGCCCAATTACTCGAAGCCGTATCCATAGACCTGTCTGATAAGCATTTAGACCGAGAAGGAATTCCGAATGAGCAGAGTATCCTGAAGAGATGTAGTAGCCTTGTTAGGAAGACTGAGGGACCGTGGGGCATTCGAATTGAATTAGCGCATTTCAGCGTCAAGGAATTTTTACTACTTGAAGTTCAGGATGACCGATATTCCATGTACCGCATGTCACAGGATTTTCGGAATGCTTATATGGCTAAGGTCTGTCTGACCTATCTATTGTTCGAAGACTTCCAAGACGTCACTCCTCACACTACACCCACTGAAAAATCTGCCACGGATAAGAAATACGCATTTTATCGCTACGCCTCGTGGAATTTTGTCAGTCATGCATGCAGTGATGCCGATGACGATAATATCTTGGAATTACTTAAACTGCTTTTTGATCCTATAAAAACGAATAGCTTCGTCTTTTGGGTCCAGGAACTGCTGATTCACTATCGTGACTGGAACAGTCGCCAAAAGATCATTTGCAATACTAGCACTTTGCACTTCGCGATCCTGTTATCAATTCCCCACGTAGTGGAATGGTTGATCTCAGATACCGATACCTACTCGTATCTAACCAAGAATGGCGATGTTGGTACCTTGTTAGCCTGTGCAGTAGCTCCCGAAATGGTTCTGTACCAGGTTGTAGAGGACACAAAATGTAGACGACATCCTCACCCTAATCGAAAAAAGAAAACATTGGAGTCTTTATTTCAGTCCGGCACAATAATTGATCCGCTTTCCCTCACCACAGGTGAATGGGGAGATTCTCCATGTACAAATTTGTTGGAGCTCGCCATTAAAGCCCATTTTGGGTGGGATATACTACTTCAGCATGGAGCTCTGATAACCGATTCATGTATCAAGGCTCTGGAAGAGGACTTTGAGGATAGCTATGACTTTATCACTAGTTTTGTACAAAGTACAAACCCCAAAAATGTCCCTGCTGATATCAATTCAAGGTCAGTTTTATCACCGCCTCATTTACGTTCATCTGTTTGCTCCAAATTTGAGTTCACTTTGCACACTAACACTATTCAATGATTGTGATTAGATTTATACAATTTGCGGGAAAACTCAAAGGCGTTGATAAACCTCTGGTAGATTCATTCTTTGACTCTAGTGTTGAGATTGACTCCACTGAAGCGATTGCCGCATTACACGCAGCAATCACATTTGGTCAGACGTATAACGTACTACAAGTTCTGAAGAAAAGGAACCCGAGCATAAATTCGTGTTCAAATATAGATGGACTGAGCGCACTACACCGTGCTTCGAAAGGCGGCCATCTAGAAATTGTCAAGATCCTTCTCGAACACGGTGCTTCATTGGATCTTCTCACTTCAACTTCTGAAATAAAGACTGCTTATGAGGTTTATGATATGAGGTCCGGTTATTACAGTTTGAAATCTCTAACCTCTTTTCATTTGGCCGTTGAGAATGGAAAGTTAGAGGTTGCCAAGTTTTTACAACGCCAGGGAGCAGATATCAATAAGCCTAACATATCGGGCGTTACACCAATTCATTCTGCCACTCGCCATGACCTCAACATGGTGGAATATCTACTTCAGTGTCCTGGACAACGCCATTCATTTTTCACCAAAACCAGTAAGGGATGGACCATACTGATGGCAGCAGCAAGGTTTGGGTCAAGTGACGTGTTCAGATTTGTTTTGCAGAACTCAGATATATCTATCGTACAATGTCAGGACAAAGCTGGTGTCAATTGTCTTCATGAAGCGGTACGATCTACTACTGAACCGGCATTGAAAATTGCAATTCTTGGAGAATTATGTGTAGATTTATACACACCAACAAAGGATGGATTCACGCCTTTGCATTTTGCAGCTAAAACTGACTCTTACACATTCGAAAAGGTCCTCAAATATGCTCTGCAATTATCTTTATGGGGATCTCAAGGTCCTACTTCTCTCAGAATCATGACAAAGAACACTTACTTACAGGGCTCAGATTCTCGGTGGGATGTTCTCAACGACACACAAGACATAATAAATGTCGTCTCTAATTCTGGATCATCCGTTTTATATATGTTGATGGACATGGGATACACTTCTGCCGAAAATGCAATAACAAAGCTTAGGCTACTACTTTCATCTAGCCGGAAGGTGAATCTGGAACTTAAGGACAACGAAGGAAGATCAGCATTATTAATACTTTGCAATTTGGTACTCCAATATTATGAAAGAGATAAACATACCGACGGGTTTTTGACTAATTCCCTGAAATTATTATTGCAACATGGAGCTTTGATCACTCAACAAGACCGGGAAGGAAATACAGCACTTCATTATCTTTGTAAAAGCCGGGGGTTCACAAATCTTGAGTATCGATGCATTTCTATTTCATTAGCGGCGGAACGCTGGAGACTTGCTGACACGCTCAAAAATGATAGCATATACATCCCTAAATGTATGAGTGCAGACGATAGTTATGGCCGAAACGATGGCAAAGATAGGGGTGATTACGGTGCAGATGGTGACTATTGGAACAACAACAAGAGGGCTGGCGAAGATGATGACGATAATGATTTCATGACAAAAACAGAACACACAAGGTTCCACCTGAGGAACAACTATTGCAAATTGTTGGAACTACCCAACCGATCAAATCGTACTGCTCTACACATATTCTTCGCGCAATTTGAAAATATTTGCCACCAACCATTTGCAAGCAAAATTGCGCTCATGTTAGTGTCTGCAGCTTCCGTAGACCAGCTGAACAGCACCTTCGTTAATGGTCGCACCCTTCTTAATATTGCTCTTCATCATGGGCAAGACCAGCTTAGCAAAATGCTTCTTGATCTTGGGGTAGATACTTTGCATCCCGATAAAGGAATGCCTCCACGAACAGCACTTGAACTACTCTGTATACACGGGTCGCAAAACAAATCTCTCATTGAAAGGATTATTGCAAGCCACCTGGACAGAAACTATTTGAATTTTGGTGGCTACACTATGCTTGATCTGGCATGTCTTCATTTTCAACCAGAAGTCTTAAAGGAATTGCTTCGAGTTGGGTGGAACGCAGAAGCTCTGAATCGACGGGGATTGCCGCCGATCGCAGCAGCTATTCAATCTGGAGATACAAAAGCCGTTGAATCCCTATTAAGATATGGAGCCGTCATTCTTAATATATACCAAACACACCTATCGCGGTTCTCTCTGTACATGTCTCTAGCTCCAAACTCAGGAATGTGTAAACTTCTTGACGAAAAGGGATTCAATGATTGGCATTGCAGAACCAGTGGGTATTTCCAGGGGCAATTCGTACCTGGATTAAGCACAACACAAACAATAAATGGCAGCACTATGACGGAAAAGGAATGGCTTCTCGAGATAGATAGTGTGACACCCTTGCATCAGGCATCAATATATGGCACCAAAGAGACTATACAGTATGCTCTGGAATTTGGAATTGATATGGATGTCGATGTTACTGCAAGTTTTGGTATCACTCCATTGTTCTTTGCGATCTATGGCAAAAAGCCTGACATCACTGAATTGCTTCTATCAGAAGGTGCCGCAACTAATGTTATCTACGGTCCCCGGAAATTGACACCGCTACATCTTGCTGTTGCAGGAGGCAATGAGCTGATTGTTGAGACTCTTCTTCAATATGGAGCGGATGTTCAAGCTCGTGATGGTGCAGGGCTCACTCCGGCTACGCTTGCTTGGGATCTTAAGTATGAAAGTATAGCTGAAATTTTGAATGAAACTTTAGCCAAGCTTTGTAAGTCTGACGTATACCTTTTCCGAGCCTTTACTGTCTTTCCTAGCTGAAAATATTTCCAAACAATAACGAAAGTTTCAAGATCATTCCGATTACTGATATATTTGATATGTAGTAATATCTGCGCCCATTTGTCCAAATAACAATATATCAGCTGCAGAGACAGATATAGTAGACGGTAATACATATGTATCTGTTGCAATTGAAGATGCTATTATCCGTCAGGACCTTTCTACTCTGAAATATCTAGTTCAAAATGGCGACAGCATTGAAGGGACTTGTTTCTGCGGGTGCAGTCCATTACTTAAAGCTTTTGTGAGAAGCTCTTCCAGAGAAATTATTCATTATCTATTAGATAATGGAGCTTCGTTAACTGGAGTAGTGACGTGTACAGAACAACTACCTACTTCTGGATTTACACCTCTTCACTACGCCGCAATGTTGGGAGACGAACAAATTGTGGAAAAGATTCTCACACTAGGAAAGCCGACTCCTCAACAAAAGGTCCACCCTTTACATGTTGCAGCATATAACGGGCATTCTGCTTGTGTTAGGCTGCTCTTGAATTATGAACTCGAGAATAAATGTGGAATTGACATGAAAAGCGACGTTGCTAGTCCTCGATGCTTCGAGGAAGCGCAAATTGTGAGCAATGATGATCATGTTGCCAAGGATATCGGCGGGACAGCTTTACATTATGCTTCTTTTCAAGGCCACTTGAATACTATGAAGGAACTCTTGAAAGCAGGAGCAGATCCTAATGCTCGAAACAGGTGGGGAGAAACACCTCTACATATTGCCGCAGAGGACGGTCAATACCAAGCATGCCAAGTCCTGATCTCTGCTGGAGCCAGTGTGTTATCTCGAGATTTTTATAACTTCTGCCCAATTCACGATGCGATATCGGGAGAGCATCAGCGAATAGTGCAGGTTATGATAAAAGAATTGGTCAGCTTCGATATTTTTTTGGACGATGGAAGTAATCTACTGGCTTATGCTTGCCGTAATGGCAATGCAGAGACAATAGAAATACTGATTGCCGCTGGGATGAACATTAATTCAACCGACAATTATGAGTGGCCGGCATTTTTTTCAGCTATGCTTAGCCAGACTTTGACTGAAGAATTCCAAATGAAGTTACTAGCAAATGTTGATAATCTTTACCAAACCCATAAGACGGAAAGTAGTTTACTTACGATTCTTTGCTGGGAATCCCTTCTTTTGGTAGTCAGAGAGTGAGTTAATCTTCTCATTGCTTTTGCAACTATGACACAACTTTATAAGGCTGTGGTATTCGACTGATAGTTGTCGCCATTATCTCTCGAAATACTACCAGAACGCTGACTTGACATAGATTACTGAGAATAATGCCTAAAGATAGATTATACCAGTATGTTAATTACATCAGTTTATATGGTACAGCTCTATACCGTACAGCAGAAATATCTCGAGAGCAAAATTTAAAAATAGCAGAGCTGCTCATAGACCATGGGGCTGAGCTTGAAATCATTAAACCGTCGCACGGCACACCTCTGATGGGTGCGTGTTACTACGGTTATTATGACATGGTTGCGCTGCTTCTCAGAAAAGGAGCAAGAACCACATGCAACAAACGCGATGGGACACAAATGACTGCAGTTGAAGAAGCTAGACACCATCCTGACATAGTGGCCTTGCTAAAGAAGTTTGAAGACAAAGGTGTTGAGGCATTGAATGAGCCCAGGCCAGCTCTACTTGCCAATATGGTGAGGGTTGAGGAGTGCATGAATAGGATTTCGAAAGAGGAGGAATAAGAAGAAGACCAGGAGAAGGGGGAAAAGAGAAACGAAGAAGGGGAGACGGAGGAAAGTGAGGAGGAAGGGCGCGAAAAAAAGTGATGGAGATGAGACGCAACAGAGTGATGTCTTTGAAAGAGACAAGGAGTCAATGTTTTCGGGTTGCCAATGGAATAACGGCCTACTATCCTATGCTTAATAAGTATCTTGAAGTTCCTTATTAATTCAATCATAGGAATCTGTATCGGCACCATGTTCTTCAAACCCTGGAATGTCACTCAGTGAAGGTTGTGAAAAGAAGATCCGAATGCTGATGCTGTTGCTAATACGGCTACATATCCGTAAACAAGCTACCACTCAAGATGGTGATCTCATTTCGCCCATCAAGATTCAAAATACAAATCTAGTGCTGTATCCTTGATTCAGTAAGTCCTACTAAATGTTACACAAAACACTCAATGATTCATGATCAAATCTCTCATGGGTCTAAACTTCGCAAATTCCTCATTTGATATTTGGGTTGGTGACACGCGGGCAGTTGTGTACAGCTGAGAAAAGGAGACGCCACAATATAATTTCAAAACGCCACCATCAAATCGTGCATAATCGTGTCCAATCAGCATCATACCTTCCGTTTCTGGCTTCACACATATAGTATGGAGTGGATAAGTACCTACTGGTGGTTGTCTGTAATTCCGTGTGTCTTATTATATGAACCGGCAATGAAACCCCTCTCCTTGGGTTGGAGTTTCGTTCTTCTCGATAGCAGTGAATCTGATAACGTTATTTAAAAGTTTTAATGGGATAGTGAATAATAGCTAGCTTTGGTTCATTTCTTTTTTCTTAAAAGTTCTTCCTCCTCGATCTCAAAACTCGAAAATTCGTTTTGCCAGGTTGTTGCACTTTGCGAAACTTTCCCTTTCGTGATTTACAACTTCGACAGCATGGCTTTCTCTCTTATCTGGATCTTTGTATCCATTCTGGTACTTTGGGTCTCCAATGCGTACCTTTCGCTGAATCGAAATATCGCGATCGCAAAGACCACTGGACTTCCCTACATCATATCTCGTGGGTTAACCGTGAAACCTTCGTGCCGTCGTGAACTTATTTCTAACCTTTGGTGTAGCAATCAACGGTATAGCTGGATTTCTCTGGGCCGGTATCCATGATATTGTTTTCAGTATTCTGAAATGTCTCCCATATTCTCAAAATTGGTTATATCCAATGATTATGTAAGGTCGCATCGCATTAGCATACATCCAATCAACTGACTCATAGCAGCTATCTTGACCCCCATCGAGGATGGCACTATAGCCAGGAACTCCGTGAACTACATGGAGAAGCATTTCTCATCATTAGTCCTGGTCAGATATATCTTAGCATGGCCAATGCAGATACTATATACCAAATGTCTATTCGGCGAAATCACTTTCAGAAACCCATTGAAGTATACGGAATTGTCGATTTGTACGGAAAGAACATTCTCACCACGGAGAAGGATGAATGGAAACGTCATAAGAAAGTTGTCGCGCCTGCATTCTCGGAGAGGAGTTATGCTGTAGTGTGGAAGGAGACTATGAACCAGGCGTATGGAATGCTAAGACATTGGTCAGGAGCGAAAGATTCGAATGAAGAGAATCTGGAAGTTAAAGATACTGCACCGGATACTGCGGTTTTAGGTCTACATGTTATTTCTGGAGCGGCGTATGGCATTAGCCAGAGCTGGGAAGGAGACGATGAGGAGTTGGGTAACAATATTGTTCCCGGTTTCAATACCACTAAGCTTGAGGGTAATCATCGATTGATGTTTAAGGAAGCTCTGGGTACATTGGTTCATGATATCATTTGGGCAGCGCTTGCTCCGATGTGGGTATACAGTAAGTGGAATTTCTTTCTTGGTGAGTCTGGACTACAGGTGAGATCTAACACGAGCTTAGGTATCTCACCTTTCCATAAGAAGTGGTATCAGTCATTTGTCGAATGTGGTGACTATTTCAATGAGCTGTTTGATCACAATTTGAAGGTTATTGAAAGTGGCCAGAATAAAGATTCTGCAGCAATGGGCATTATAGGTATTTAAACTTCTTGAATTCCTGAAACAAATACTAATCAAACATCAGGTTCTTTGGTAGAAGCTACTCGACTCGAATCCTCGGATGATTCGAAGAAAATGCTCACCAAGCAAGAAGCGATAGCCGATTCCTTTATATTCCTCTTCGCAGGCCACGAAACCACATCTAACGCCATACACTTCATAATCCTCTTCCTGTCTGTTTTTCTCACGGCACAAGATCAACTTCAATCGACGCTTGATACAGTTCTTACAGACAGATCATCAGAGTCCTGGAATTATGAAACAGATTTCCCAGCTTTACACGACAGTTTTGTTGGAGCCGTCATGAACGAATCTTTAAGAGTCATGTCCCCTGTTATTGCCATTCCGAAGGTCAGCTTGGAATTGAGACAAATGAATTTTGACGGAAAAATTATCACGGTCCCGGCAAACACGTTTCTGCATTTCGATGTCATGGGTGTGCATCGAAATCCGCGTTATTGGCCATGTCAAAAAAGCCGGATTAGTGATAAATCTCACGATTTAGATGACTTTGTACCTGAGAGATGGCTACCCGGCTATGAGAAAAACTCAAAGGACAAGGCCTCCCCTGACGCTTCGAATGACAATCTACTCTTTGTACCACGTAGAGGAGCATTTATACCCTGGTCAGAAGGCGCCCACGCCTGTATGGGGAAAAGATTCTCGCAAGTTGAGATGATGGCTGCATTGGCTGTGATATTCAAAGTCTGGAGCGTTGAGTTGGATGTCAGAAAATGGGCGAGTGATGAGGAGGTTGAGAAGATGAATGTTGGAGATAGGAGAGTGGTTTACGAGAAAGCAATGGAGAGAGCGAGACGACTCATAAAGGAGAGTGAGACTGTTATCACGCTAAAGATGTCTGGAGAGCCTGTTCCTTTGAGGTTTGTCAAGAGAGGAAAGGAGAGATTTAAGGATTGCTTTGTTTGAAATGGACTAGCTGTCTTAATGGAGGTATCTAGGTTGGGGATGAAGAGGTACGGAGATTAACTTTCTAGTCTCTGCCATTTGCACAGGGATGGGTAAGCACTTGAGCTATCGAAGTCCGAGTATCTCAAACTGCCAATTTTAGATACAATGGTTAGGATTAGCATTTCATGAGTGCTTTTGAGAATACAAATGAATTGGTGAGGTTGTCATTTACACATAAGATCCTGAGCCTAATGATAGACTTCAATTATCATCTGCTCCAAGTGATAGGCACTCGTCTCATTCCATTTTACTTTTCTTCATCCTCCCCTCGGTTCTGCTCCCACATCTGAGAACTCAATAGCAGAAGTATGTATTAAATTGAAGTGTGAAAACAATATTCAGGAGTTAGTATTCCTAAGTTCACATATTAATTTTGCAATTTACGATCATATGGCATATTTGAACTAGGATTTTATATTGGAGTGAATTGCAATCTATCATAGAGAATAACGAGGAATTACATCGTACTAACACCACAAAAAAAACTAACAAATAGCAACCATGAGTTTAAAATAAAAATGCCAATTGTATTAGTTCAACCAGAAGAAGCACTCCCAAGCTATAGAGATCAAAACACCCAACTCCTCCTTTTATTCGCCTGACAATAATCACTGCCTCCAACCAAGAACTCCCCAAGTTGTTACCCCTCGAAATATTCTAATGAACCATCGACTTGCCAAGCTTACTTTTCCATCCCTTCGCCCTTTCAAACCCATTAGAATGGGTCTGGAAGTCCTCCATCGCTTGATATATCTCCTCTTCTGAATTGACGACAAAGGGGCCGTATTGGACTATCTTTTGGTCGAGGGGTTGGCCTGCTACTAGAACTAAAGAAGTCGTTAGTATATATTTTCTCTTATGACATGAGAGATAAAAATTAATCATTGGAGAGATAAATGAAAGACTGTAGAAGTGTGACTTGAATGAGTAGTGTAGCGAAGCAACTTGCTTTGGAATTTACCCCACCAACAAATGCCCCTGTCTATCTCGGCTGCAATCTGACCCCACTCGGGTAACATTCGGCCCCTTCTTGCATGTATTGACCCGCTCTTGCAAACTCTGCAGCCAACCCTGCAGCACGGCAGTCTGGATGGTGGTTTTTTCACTCTGTATTATTTGCAAACAAGAGAAGCGATTTCAACAACTAAGAAACAACCAGCGTTTGTGGTTTAGTGGTAAAATCCATCGTTGCCATCAAACTCTTCCTTCATCAGAAGAGTACGAAACAACCTCGATGGGCCCCGGGTTCGATTCCCGGCGAACGCATCACTGTTTTGCTTTTTTGATTGACTTCAATCTCATAGATGGTTGTTTTGTTATGGATTTTTGTGGTTGATGGTTCTGGTGAAGGAGATTTGACGAGTTTAACCCCTCTTTTGCTTCTGCAAATTTTGGACGCGGGGTTTGGGAGGTTGTAATTCAAAATAAAGCGAAAACCAATCAAACGAATGAAGAACTTACTAAAATGTGCATTTTCTTTAGCAGACTCTTCGACTTCTGCATTCACCAAATCTCCCTCCTGACGGAATACCACATTGTGGAATTGTGCAACCTTAGTCTTCTCATCTCCACTTCCAAAGACCGCCTCCCCACTCAAAATATAGGCAAAAGCGTTCCACCCAGCCGGTAATGATTGCACAATCTTTCCACCCGGTTTGATTTCTATGTCGAAAATCCAAACGGGTGTATAAGCTAAGTCTTTTACACTATCAACGCCATGACTTCGGCCTGAGATGATCTTCACATGTACTTTTCCATCGTCGATGTCGATGCGTGGAATTTCCTTGGCTCGTAAATCACGATATCGTGGCTCGCATTTCTTGAGTTTCTCGGGTAAGTCTACCCAGAGCTGTAATCCAATATTTGCGCTGCCATCAGCATGTTGTCGTGGCATTTCTGAGTGCATTATTCCTCTTCCGGCAGTCATGAATTGAAGATCTCCTGTTTCGATGGTCCCTGAATTTCCTGTGAAATCTTCATGGTCGACAGCACCTTGGAGGATGTAGCTTATCCTGATGAGGTTGAGTCAGTGGCAGTTTGACACGGAGAAATGAAAAGGTTAACTTACGTTTCCTGTCCTCTGTGTGGATGATCTGGAAATCCAGCTCCGGACTTAGAGTTGAAATGGTCAAGCATAAGGAATGGTGAGAAGTTCCTTAGTTGAGGTGAGCCGATTGAACGACGAACTCGCGCTCCCGCACCCTCCGCTTGCTCGCGTGCCAAAAAGGCTTTCAGGATCCTTCTTGGTGTTGTCATGTTGACTGCTTTTGATGTGCTAAAATATGAAGCGGATGGAAAGTTATAAAGTTGTGGTTGTGAAGGAGTTGTGGCTGTACTATTTGTAAACAAGTAACTTATGGTTTCGATATGCTCGATAATTGGATCTCTGAATACAATTGAGAATACTGCAATGATGATTGAAAAAAGAAGAAGAAGCAACTTCATCTGAATGGCATGAGAGTTTTATAGGATATTTGAGAACGGATGAGATGTGGATTTGAACGATATTGGACTCTACTCGAGTATTGAAATATTGATGATGAAATGCTTATCCGATTGCTTATCGCATTGCTTATGAGTTGCTGATTTAGGGCTGACCAATGCGTAGAGGATAAAGTTTTTTAAAATGTGGCTGCGGCTATTTGTAATGACCTCGGGAATATATGCCATTGGTCAGTCTCGATTGCTCAGCATTTCAATTCCCCCAATCAGCATTTGCAATCACAACCTTATTCTACTTTTGTAATATTGATGATAGATCCATCAGATCCTCGGTGTTTTAAACCAAGCTCGAGCCAAGCTACCCTCGAGCTATCCTGTAGGCTCAGGAGAGCGCCTCGCTAGCAAAATTGCCGAGGTGAGCAAACAACAAAATGACGTGAATTTTTATTTTCTAGGAATTCTAGTTCATCACGACAACTTTACATTTCTCCTTCGTTTGGGGTTGATCTTTTGATCTCTACAAGGAGGAATATCACCCACCAGAGCTTAGTGCAAACTGCGATCAATTGATTTGCTCAAGTACAGCTGGCCTCCATCGTTGGTTGCCCTCGATCAATCGTTTCATAGTCATAGTACTCACTGCAATCCCAAATCACTGGCATTCTTGACCCTAAAGTAGCTCGATACCATTATCTACCATCTAGATCTCTACAATCCCAGTTTAGTACCCTAAAAGCTGCAATTCTTTATTGTCGGTCATGACGAAACAACTGCCAGCACATATGCACTTCGGTACGATCGAAGGAAAAGCAATTTGCCCTTCAGTGCATTCCAACAGATGACAGGAAGGATTTAAGGAGCCTCTAGTGTAGTCTTTCATGCTCTATACCGAGTTGTTCTCACGATCTAGTGATTACTTCGGATTTGGCCTGGTGTGGATTTCTTCAGTACACTGGATTATGACAGAGCAACTGCTTGCTGGATATCTCAACACTGTCTGGAATAGTGGCTGTCAATTATTTCGTTGGATTTTATCAGATGTAAAGTACTCTGAGACTGATTCGTTAGATGGGATGCATGTTACTGGAAACGATCATCGCACTGGTTTCAAGAGGATGAGAAAGAAATCAAGTCACAATGTCTACTGAGAATATCACCTTGAAGTTTCTTTTACAGCGAGATACTTCAGACTATCCACACCAAAGCAGCCAATCAATTTTTCCTCTTCAGAAAATTCATGCGAATAGATACTAAATACTGGTATCTCAAATTCAGTACGGCAACTGATAAACTAGCTCGATCATTCCTGTGATCTTCCAGTGAAAAGCAACGCATTGTTAAAACACAAGTTTTGGCCCATTCATACCAGATGATAGCGCCATTTTTCTATCAGGAAGTTGCTCACTCCCTATCGTCCTTTTCGGTCGAGTCTCCATAAGAAATGAGTGAATGATCTACTCTAAAGCCTTTCTCCGCCAAATCTTTTAAAATTTCGCACAAGCTTTCGATGACCTCTTGATCAAGAACTGCTAAATGCTTCTGTTCATAAACTTCCTGAACGATGTCATAGTTGGGGATATTTTGTTCCTGTTCCGCAAGAGAGGTTTCATTTATCCAAGGTTTCGTCCATCCGACTCGTTCATCTACCTTGAATCTCCTTTTGATTTTCTTTCCAGTCAAGGTCATCTTTACCTGGTGGATGAATTCTGCAAAGCTCATTCCACGCTTCCATACCTTTTCCTTAATCCAACAATTATCATGATCATATTCGAAGGCCTTGTCAAAAGCTTTAAGAATATTGACACTTTCATCAGCCATTTGCTTAAGTAACATCTTTGCCTCCCCCTCAACCCCGCCAGGACACGTGCAGTATATATGCAATTTATCCAGCACTGGATCTGTGAATTTGTAACATCTGGCAGCTCGATGTAATATTTCGATGCGAAGGAACTTGTGTGTGGCAGGGAGTTCGATAAGAGGGATCTCATTAGATGAACAGAATCGCGCCGAATACGCAAGTTTATGGAATTCAGGACAAACGCTACAATAGAAAAGCCTCAAGATACACATCTTGTTTCGTTGGATATGGATGATGTTGGCTCGCAAGTATCGTCTTCTCGATGGTCTAGCAACCAGTGCACTAATGCCATTAGTCCTTTGCTATCCTCGATGGCGTGATACGTACAGTATTATTATCAAGACAGATTAGCTGAACCTATCCCAGAGTTTCCGTGTTCTGAATCTGTATATCGAGTATGACCGACTTAATGGTTAATCAAAGGTATTCCCACGCAGATTAAAAGGATATATAACAATTATTCCCGTAGTTAGGTGGGAAAACTTTTGACTTCCCGTGTGTCGAACGATGTTAGTGAATCTTGAGAATCATGCCACAAGGACTATTATGACTTTGACTAAGCTGAGATAAAAATTGATGTTTCAATGTACGTGCTCGAGTCAAATGCCCTTGGAACCACTCATGAAGTTACTATCTTTACTTTTGGGTTGAAATATTTTGTATGACGAAATCGTAGTCATATGGGAAACATGTTTCTTCATACCAGAATGATTGATTTAGAATCATGCATTATGATTATAAGCTTGTGAAAACGCCGATTTCAGAATTTGTGTTGGGTTCACTTGGTAAGGTAGTGTATACACATAAATGATATGGGTAAAGTGGGATTGTATATTGTTGTCTGCCCTCTTCGTATCAAGGGGGCGTTTGCTAATCTATATACACGTGTTCCAACAATTTGGCTTGGTCTACCTAAAATGACAAGTGGATACCAAAATGTCAAATCAATATTTCTGAAACGGTATTTAGGATTAATTGTAATTCATCGTGCCGAATGAAATAGACCGTGGTAACTTCATCTTTCACATAGCCTAGATCAACTTTATGCCAATCCGTGTAAAGTTCAAATTTCAATGATCCCAAATTGAACCACAATCTCTTCAATTCTGCACCCAACCATGCCCATCAAGTCTCCTTCATATCTGTGTATGTAATGTCGCCTATAGAAAAGAGGCCCCGTTGTGGCTTTATCACATATCTCTCCACTGCACCCTATATTTAGCAGGGCGTCATGAATCTTTCCTGTGCTCTCTCTTGCGCTTTTTTCCACTACTATCTCTCCCAACTCCATTATTTCCGCTTTGTCTCCGACCGGTTTCGCCCCCTCTCTCATCCTCTAATATCTCCCCGTCCTCCTTCAAACTACTCTTCTCCCCTCGGTCTTCTTTCACCCTCCCTCTATCCTGCAATGTTACATCAACACCGCTTCCACTGCCATCTCGATTACCCACGTTTCTTATCTCTTTCTTTCCATCAGACTCTTTATCCCGGACCCTTCGCTTCTTTTTCGCTGGGCCCTGCTTGCTGCCTTTCGACAGCTGTAATGTAGACCCCGTGATCTCAGCAAATTTATTGATCATGGGAGGAGGAATTATCTTCAACCCAAGTTGTGTGCATGACTTCGACGGCGAAGTGGAGTTCAAGCTGTGTGCAAATGAACTTATCATCAAGCGGGGAGCCATACCTAACGGAATTCGAGGACCGGTTGGAGGAGCTCTGTCTAAACCCAAGGATCTTTGAATTTCTGCACGATGCAAAGCCGCACTTTGTACAGCGGCTCGTTGCGCATTAAGTTGCTTTTGGACGAAAGCCTGTTGATCAGGTAGAATTTTGGGCACTTGATCTTGAACAGCTGGATGTTGGGTTCGAGCTTCCTTCGAAAATTTGGCACTTCGCTCCGTTGCTTGAACTGAAAGTTTCGATGGAGCTTTCTTTTCTTGAACTACACGTTGTGCTTGAATTTCCCGAGTCTGTAACAATTTACGTTGCAGTGTAGAAGATTTGAGTGAGCCAGTCAATAATTCGGCGTTTTGATTAATAAGTTTATTTTGAAGCGGGACTTTACTAATGGAAAAGGCTTGAGACATTAATTTGGGAAGACGGTCAGTGATAGTATGGGGATTTACTTGAACACGATCGCCGAGCTTTTCAGAAGATGTAATAGCCACTGAGTAATCTATCTCTGTATTTTGTTCCACTCTGGTCAGCGTATCAGAAGCACTAGCTCCATCATCCGAAACACCCTTCATAAAAACATCATTCGTCTCTGTGGATAGTTTTCGGAAGGAATAACCTGTAGTCGCTTGCTGAAAGCTAAAACTCTTGCCACGAAGCTCTATCTTCTCTGATACTAGAACTAGTGAGTTGTGCACTCTTTCAAGCTCCTTGGAGTCATGTTCTTTTTGCAAATGTTCGTAGAACTTATAGCTGTGATTGTGCTCATTGTATTTCCGACGAAGTTTCTCATCCTTCAGTATCATGTAAGAGATTAGCTTCTGGTTCCATTCGGAGCGCACCTTGTCCATAGCCTTCTGATTTTTGGCCTGTCTGAGATTACGGATGTAGTCATGACCTAAAACCCGCTTAGTACCCTATCGTCTGTAAAAGAGTGATCACTATCTTCTCACCCATACTTCGCAAAAGGCTCCCCAAATGATGTCTACTGATGACTCCATTCCACGATGAGCTCTTCTTTGTGTCATTAGCGCCCAGATCATGATAATAGTTTATATCATAGTTTATGTCTTTCTCCTCGACGACAATGCCTTTGGTAACACTTTTGAAGAAATCTTCGTTATATGGCTCGGGGGGGTCGTCAGAATGAGGCGCTCCTATTGAACGAACTACTTCCTCGCGAAAGGCAGCGAACTGGATTTGTGCTAGCGACTCGTCCGGCTTTTTATTTTTTCGCTCAAAGCCCTTCAGGCGCAGCTCTCTATCAATATCGTAGCTCCACTTCCTTTCGTGATCCGATAGTATCATGAATGCACGCTCGATGTTGTTCCAATTTTGTTTCATATCTTGTGATATTGTCGGTTCTTTTCCGCGCCATTTCGTTTTTCCTTCGTCGGACTCTGAATCATGGATCCGTCCTTGAAGTTGTCAGCAGAGTTTGAATAAATATCAACCATATTGACATACTCAATTCAGAGTATGCCTTCTTTATGTCCTCAATCGAGGCAGATGAATCCAACGATAACATCTCATAATAGTCCATGACTGGATCATGAATATACCGAGCTCCGTGCAAATCCTCTGCGTTGATTATACTCTGTTCAGCGTATCCTTTTTCTCTCGTCTTTTTGTCTGCTTTTGGCATGAAGTTCAATCCTGTCGGGGCTTTGAGCTCTTCAAAGCGACTATTTTTAAACTCAACATCCACCTCCATAGAAGCTTCCGCGCCCTGGAATCAACAACCAATGTTAGCATACAGATTGTATGTTTTTATGTGGCCGGTATTTACCGTCATGTGCGCTCCAGTTTCAGATTGAGGGAAAACGCCAAATCGAGGATGAGTACCAGAGCACACAGCTTCAGCAAATCGAATGATTTTGATATATTGTTCAAATTCGAATAACTCCTGTGCTTCATACTGTTCGACTTGATAGAGCTCATAGATAGTCAAGCAGGGAGAGCCTTTCTTTGGTTCATCATAATTTGTATTGAGTCCGCTAAGCTCTTCACTCGATGCCATGGTAGAAAACAATCAAGTACAAAAATGAAGTTCTGGTAGTATAATTTGTAAAGCACAAAGCAAGTATAAAAGAGATGCGGCAACAAAGTCGTACCAGTATTTTCACAGTTGACTGCCGCAAAAGAAAGAAGTTGATTTCAAATGATGAAGTTTTTCAAGCCTTTCACTTTGTTTACTTAACGGTATTAAATTGTCCCATCGGCTGGTCCATGTCCGAACCTCCGAAGTGATGTCTTTCGGATAAGAAGAATCATGCTCGAAGGAAGGTACGATGAGAGCCTTTTTCGTTTGTTGTTTAGGAAGGTAGGTATTCGTGAGTTTCTTGATTGACACATGATTTTTGCCAAGGCGGATGGCTGCATAAGAGGAGGCTCAATAGGATTCCAATCACATCCATGATGATTCACCACCATGCTCTTGATTCACTTGGAAACGTTGGTATGATACATATTATCTTTACAAATTGATAGTATGTCAGGCAATTCGACTATGTTATTGCTCATTCGTCAACGTCGCAACTATTAGAGATCTCCTCGTACTTCTTATAATTCTCCCCGTAAGCCTCGATCTTCGCCATGATTGCCTTATAAGCATCGCTGCCAATCACTACTCGCAAAGGTGGATTCGATAGTGTAGCAAGTTTGTACATTGCCTTCGCACCTTTCTCTGGATCTCCAGCTTGAGTGCCGTTCCTCTTTTCCATTGCTTCCTTGGCATTCAGATGATCATACGCAGGGTTTCGTTTCTCGGGAAATTGCATAGATCTTCCAGCCCAATCAGTTCGGAATCCACCTGGCTCAACACAAGTGAACTTGATGTTCCATTCCGGCTTCACTTCTTGACTAATACTTTCAGTGAAGCCCTCGACTGCCCATTTACTTGCACAGTAAATGCTGAAAAAAGGCACGCCTCTTTGACCTCCAATACTAGTGACTTGTTGAATGAGGCCGCCACATGGCTTTTGGTTTCGCATTACATCCATTGCCTTTTTGGTCACGGCAAGAAGGCCGAAGAAGTTTACCTCCATCTGAGTGCGAGCTTGTTGCTCACTGACTTCTTCAAAGACACCGGCAAGGCCGTATCCTGCATTGTTGACGACTACATCGACGCGGCCAAATTTATCGGTTGCGGATTTGAAAGAGTTTTCAATGTCAGATTGACTAGTTACATCAAGTTTGAGGGCTAGAAAGTTCTGTTGCTATTAGAGAGCTCCATCTTATGGGGCAGAGATAGTACCTTTTCACTTGTCCCCTCGAACTTTAAAGTCTCAGGCTTACGAGCAGTTGCGACGGCAATATCTCCTCTAGGTTGAGATCAGTTAAGCTTTATTTTACAGCATTTTTCAAAGAGAGCTTACTTATCGAGAACCTCTTGGACGAGATGGTTTCCGAACCCGGTAGAAGTACCAGTGATGAAAAAGACTCTGGGCATGATTGTTGCAGTTGAAGGAAGAGGTGTAGCTGGCTGATTATAGAGTGTTTCGTCTAGATTTCTTACATGAGAATAATCCCAACGATGATACTCACCAAGTATGCCAGCCAGCTATGCATATATACATCAGGATTGGTATTAGGGCCGGATTTGGGGGGGCAAACTTCCAGCAGAAGCATAAGTGGGAAACTGAACGACGTCATGATTAAGTCATTAGTCGTTGCCCAGATTCCATGCGTCACTACTCCTTCTATGAATTAGTTGAATAGTCTTCTATGACTTAGTTGAATAGCTGATGGATGGAACTATCTAGGTATTTGGTATTGACTTTGTTCCATCACAACTATTTACAATGATACGAGAGAATTGAGGACTGGAGCATGTGGGGTGTAAGTAAAAGCGGTGAAAGGAAAGGCAAAATCCAATTCCGGCTTGATTCATTACAGACAAGAAGAAGATGACATGACTTCGAGTTTGTGGGGGGATGAGTTCGATGCGTCTCGAGCTATACAAACAGACGTTGATGTTCAAGATCGATAAGGAGCTCAGTCTTATACTTCGTCAGGTTTTAAGATAGCGCTACCATCCACATTTCTTCTGTTCACCGAGAAGCCAATCGTGATTACTATCGTGCAGCCAGAAAGTGTACAACTCTGAAGCTAGATGCATATTACAAGATGACAAACTACAAGATAACTAACCTGGTTTTCTCAGTTCCAGAGTTATATACTTCTTAGCCATATAAGTATTTAGATCAATACAATAAAAAGATTAATAAACACAGTCAGAAAATATACAACTCCGAAGCTAAATGTATATGTATGAAAAAGTAATAAAATATGAAGTGATCAGTAACCCATATCTAGATGAAGCATTATCCACTTCCTAGCTGTATTTGCAACAATTTTGCATCGATACAACAGAAAGATTAATAATAAACATAACACTCGTACAATCAGAAAGTATACAACTCCAAAGCTAGATGCATTTATCAGAAGGTGGTAAAATACAAGATGATTGGTGACCCATATTTAGATGGAGTATTATGTAAGAGTTGAGGCCCCGGCTTATCGCACACTAGCCGAAAACATACCAAAAACCTTCATTTCTTCAACTTTTAAACTATATATTATTTCAATAAATATAAGAATTGTATTATTGAAATTGATATATATTATAATTGATTATTGAAATTATTTAAAAAAATGAATAGATTATTTTTAGCATTTTTTTTAATATAGTTGTAAGTTTTCAAAGTTAGAATTTCCAAAAAATCCAAAAAAATCGACTTTTTTGTATGGGAAAAGTGTTACATGTAATAAATTTCGAAAAATTTCAACTTTGAAAACCTATAACTATATCAAAAAAAATGCTAAAAATAATCCATTCATTTTTTAAGATTTCAAATATAATAATTTCTTATATAAGAGATTTTCAAATTAAATTTTGGATTATTTATTGAATTATAAAAGAAATAAGTTTATATAGGAAAACGACTTTTTTGCAGGGATTTTGTCACGAAAAAGGGTAGTGTGCGATAAGCCGGGGCCTCAACTCTTACTTTCTATCGTAGCCGCACGAGTATTTAGATTATATAACAGAAAGATTAATAAACACAGTATTACTACAACCAGAAAGTATACAATTCTAGAGCTACGAGTATTTAAGTCGATATCATAGAAAGATTAATAAACACAATACATGTGTCGCTTTTCGTCACCTGCATTAGTCTCGGAAGGACGACGATTATCACACAGCTAATATATTCCATTGTAATATATTCTGTAAAAGTATATATTGAACAATGCCTGCTCCAAAAGCTCAACTCCAGCTCCATCTATCTCATCCCCAAACCACTCACTCAAAGCAGCTTCCAAAATGCATGTCAAAGATCTCCCCTCCTTCAAAGATATGCCCCCAGTCGCGGGAATGCCTCATGGAACGGCATGGGGTCTCTTTGACAAAAACGGCGAGCGAGATGATTGTGGTACTCTAAATTTGCTCACGCCCGAGAATACACTCGAAGCAAGCAAAGAGATTAAGTCTGGCAAAAGTGTTGCATTGAAGTGTGTCTTATTCTCATTCTTCCCCTTCCTATCTATCCCGTAACTCTCTTTTCCATCCGATGATCACCAGGAGAAGAAAATAATAATGCACGTATACTAAAACCTGCTTGCTCTCAAAAAGTTGGTCTCAAGACCGCATTCACGAACCTGGATTCAATCGCGATAGTCCGAACCATACAATTCGAGATCTGGCTGAATTTGGTATCAAAGCGTATGATGATGTGATATACATCAATACGCAAAGCGGTTCTCAATGGGATGGATTTCGTTCGTCTTCCCCATTGCCTTTTTCCATTCAACATATCACATACACTGCATGACCTCCTCTCCACCTCCACCTCCACTCCACTCCACAATCCTCCCAACTCAAGTTAACAAGACTCGTAAAGGTCACTGGGCCCACCAAGCCACATCCCTCTACTACAACAACCTGCCCCACTCCGAAATCAGCTCTCCCGTCCCAGGAACCCCATGCAAAAACGGAATCGACGCCTGGACCACCCGCGGCGGCATCGTCGGACGCGCCGTCCTAATCGACTATGTAGCCTACGCTCAGCGCCACAATATCTCCTATTCCCCGGTCACGAGACACGAAATTAGTGTTGAGACAATCGAGGAAATTGCAAAGGAACAAGGAGTCGTATTCAAAGAAGCGGACATCTTGATTGTGAGGAGTGGGTTTGTGAAATGGTATGAGGAGGCGAGTACCGAAGAGCGCATTCGAGGTGCGAAAAACGCCCATGAATTCGTAGGCGTGAAGGCATGTGAAGAAACAGTGGAATGGATATGGAATCAACATTTTTCTGCCGTAGCGGGTGATACGGTTGGGTTTGAGAGTTGGCCACCAGAGGCAAATACGGGGTTGGTTTTGCATGATTGGTTGTTGGCTTTGTTGTGAGTTTGTGTTATTTACTTCTCTCTTTTTCCCCTTCTCTTCCTTCTCAAATCAACCCGCTCTCCACCCTAGTCCCGACCGAGCAAACATCAGACTGTTTACTATCTTTCCATCCCTCCACCCACGTCAACATCAAACTGACTTCCCTGCCAAGCGGTTGTCCAATAGGCGAACTCTGGAATCTCGAAGAATTGGCAAAAGTATGCGCGGAGCAAAATCGATACTCTTTCTTCTTCACTAGTGCGCCGTTGAACTTTCCTGGTGGGGTAGCGAGTCCACCAAATGCTGTTGCTATCTTTTAGGTATGAAGTCATGAGAGTGAGAAAATGAATTGGTTGAAGATAACGAGAGGTGGAAAGAGGGACAGAGTGGTAATTGTAGTTGGATTTTCTTCAGATCTGTTCCCAATTCATCCTAGTCGATGAACTTTTACCCAAGATACGCTTTGATCCATTTCCCCCATGAGTCTGTATCTATACCTCCCTCTTGCCCACTGCTCCCAAATTAACCACATTCCTCAAATTGCCAAACGGCAAAACATCACTGATTCTCTTCGAACCACTCAACCACATAACCAATCTATCTACTCCGCATCCCCATCCACCAGTAGGTGGTAATCCGACCTCCAACGCTTGGACATATCCTTCATCCACTTTATCCATCGGATTCTCTATATCTTTAAACTTCAACTGCTCTCTGAACTTATATCTTTGTTCGAATGGTGAATTTTCCTCCTCGTACATATTCGCTATCTCTTGATGCTGAATGAATAGTTCCACGCGCGCGGAGACAAGCTGGTTGGTTTTGGGATCGAGGAATGATTTGGAAAGGGGTGCCATGGAGGAAGGATGGTGCATGATAAATGTTGGTTCCGAGCAATGGGGCTCGATGTAGAGGGATGCAAGTTTATCTAGGAGACGAGGAAGGGTTGGGTTTTCAAGGACTTCGAGACTATGCTTTGTAAAGAGTTCGAGAAGGTCGTCTCTGGCGTCATTTTTCTGGAGATCTGGTAGCTTTTCCCCAAGTGCAGCTTCGACTGCGGGTATGAATTCGATTCGTTTAAAGGGTTTTGTGTATAGATCCTCTTCGAAGGGTGGAAGATTTGCGAAAGGCATGTATTTGACTTGTTGAGGATCATCACGCAACCCATTGACAAGCCTTACAAGGCCTGAAATTAACTTCTCAGTCATGGAAATAAGATCCTCGAGGTCGGCATATGCTTTGTAAAATTCACAAGTTGTGAATTCCGGGTTGTGTATCGCATCAAGACCTTCATTTCTGAATGCAGGACCAATCTCGAAAACTCGATCTAAACCACCAATAACCAAACGTTTCAACCATAACTCAGGAGCTATTCTCAGAGCCAACTGTTTTTCGGGGAACTCCGTTGCATTCGTTTTGAATGGTTGAGCCATGGCACCTGAAGCCTTGTCGGCAAGAATTGGTGTTTGAAATTCGAGAAAATTATCTTGGACTAGGAAATCACGGATATGTTGTGTGATTTTGGATCGAAGTCGTAAAGTAGCAGCAACATCATTGTTGACAAGAAGATCAAGATGTCGATTTCGAATACGACTTTCTGGATCCTCCAACTTTTGAGGTACTGGTGCCAGACTTGGAGTCAATACTCTAGGTATTTCGATCAATCTGAGAGTGGAAAACCCGTTTTCTTTTCGAATCGGGTAACCAGTTGCAGCTGTTATGTGTTAGATTCACAAACATGAACACATAAAATCTTCACTCACAAATCATATCTCCACGTTGCATCAGGTAGGTTAAGTTTTCGAAGGAAATCGGTGATTGCACATTGACATCTTGATTTTTGAGAATCATCCCAGATTCAGCTTCTAATTGAATTGAATAACCATCTTCTATTATATTCATAAAGACAAGCTTAGAACCAAGCTTTCGTATACTTCCAATTCTACCTACAAAAAATCAACTCCTATTCATTTTCTGCTTCGAAGATGGTTCCTTACCATGCAACGTAAGAGCAATGGCTTCATCACTATCCACACCTGGTAACATTTCCGCACATTTTTCAAGACAACTTTTCACCGATGCGATTTTACCAACCTTTTTAATTCTAGGATAATGAAGAGCGCCAGCTGACTGAAGTTTTTTTATCCTAGTTTCGGTGGGATCTAAACCTTCCTTCAACTTTACCCTAGGAATCTTAATGCTCTCTTCTGTCTCGCAGTAGGGCCTCTTCGACCTCTCACTGCGTAAAGAGTAATGTGTGGAAAAGAGTCGTGCATATGCAGCTGGTTTTACCGGAAGAATATCATGATAGAGGTAGGGTCTAAGAAACCGAAGACCAGTAAGAGAACTCATTCTATATTCTTTAAAGCGACTCAATTAGCTTAAATTCAACCGAAAACAATGTGAAATCATATGAAGATATAAATATTGAGTTTTTTCAGACAACGGATCGATGTGAGATCAACCACTCTCCCGAAGAAGGGTGTCAGTCGCAACGGTTCTAATGTTATATGGAAATCATCATATAAACTCATAGTGAGATTGAGCAATAGAGCAAAGAAGAAATATTATACATACCAATTAATTATTACACTCTCTCAGACCAATTGTTGGTAAATAATAAGAGAGTGTTATTGTTGATGAAGGAATTGATGGAATTATTCGAAGCTCAGCTTCGAGTTTTATTTTCCAAAAAATGTGTATCTCCGGAACAATGATTTACCGACGCTAGTTGAGCTTTCCCTTCAAAGTTCATCCACCTAGGATTGAATCGAAGATATCAAACCAAAGAAGCCCAAATCTATTCGATATTAATACATCTCTCTCATATACGAATCAAATATCTCCCAACTTCACACACATAAAATACCGCAATCATGTCGATGTTCGGAATGGGTCGTCCTCAACCATCCTCGCAGGAGAAAATCGCTGCTGCTGAGCAAGAGATGGATTTGATTACCGATATGTTCAACAAGTACGTTGTCAATGAATTCATTTGTCATTGGGGGCAGGCCCCCAAAATCCCACGGCTCGTTGCACTCGGCTCTTTATAGCTATATTCCATACTCAAACAATCTACCTTCAAGGCAGTGGCTCATGGAGGGGTAGCGGAGCGACATTGCCCTAGAAGCTGGGGATGGCTACGTTTTTACTTGGAATACCTGCATGATTTTAACCTATGCTAATAATTTCGCTTCTAGACTCAGTCAATCCTGCATCAAAAAGTGCATTCCCAAAGATTACCGCGAGGGAGAACTCAACAAAGGCGAAGGCGTCTGTATCGACCGCTGCGCATCCAAATTTTTCGACGTCCAAATGAAGATTTCCGAGTTATTACAAGCTGAGGCCGCAGCCAAGGGAGCTGGTGGTGGTGGATTCGGGGGTGGTGGATTTGGAATGTAAAGTTAAAGATATCTATGAAGAGAGGCTGGAGGAAGTTGTGTATTATTGAGCCGGTCCATTTGGGTAAACAAATGATGCAAAGATGACATGATGATGAAAAGGCAGGCACGAAAAGGACTCCACCAGAATACGTCGAGGCTATGAAGAATATTTATGGGTGATGATAAGCTCATTGATGTTAATATTGTACAATAGAATGTGGTATAAGGATCACATAAGGTGGCTTTTTAAGTCCACTGCCCCCATCTCTAAAACTCCAATCCATACTACCATGCTCAGATAAATATAAATGCTTGATGGGTATTCCCAAAACGCCTGCTAAATGAATCTCCTCGGATCAACAAGGTTGATATAAAATTCAAGGATTTCTTGGTGCCACGATATTTGGTCCAGTACCAATTCCCGTAATAGAGCGAACAAGCCAATGAGCCCAACTTTCCTTTCTAAAAATGTTTTCCAGTTCATCTGCTCTTGCCTCAAGATCATCTACCTGTCTTTCAAATTGAGATACTCCATCCTCTACATCCTGTACTTTTGACACAAGAGAATTGAGCTCGTACTCGAGTTTGGCTCCAAGGACTTCAATATCCTTGAGAGTTTCTGTAACATGTGATCGTTCTTCACCGAGGAAATCCTGTGTATTATCCCTTAAATCTTGGTATTCTTCGCTCAACTGCATGTGTAACTCCTGAAACCTTTCCTGGTCAAGAGCTGCTTGATCGTCTAAATGGTTGATCCCGTCGATTTTCCTCTGTACCCATGGGCATAGATTATTTTGAAGGTCCAATATCTTCTCGTATATTCGTTTATAATCCTCGTTGAGTAATTTGTGATTTTGTAAAGCGAGCCAGTCATCTGATTCGTCAAACTTATCAGTAATACCAACAGGTTCCCAGGTTAGAACAGCGTCTTCGGCATCACTGAAAGACACATGACGCTGTAATTGATCTTCGCAACGATGTCTCCTAGAATGGGATGCATCGGAAACACTATGCCGACGATGAAGTATCGCCACAAAATTATGATTATCACTACGTTCTGCTTCTAGAACTGGGCCTTCTAGGTCACCCTCGCCACAAATGGACCCTGAAATAGAAGGCTCCTTTGCGACAAGTTCACGACGAATTTCTTGCGCCTGTGCCTGCCATTGTTCTTCGGCTTCCACGGCTTTCCTTTCCTCCAATTGTGTAGCAGTTAAAATTTGGGTGACACCTGGTAAGCTTGTCTTGGAATTGCCAGGGGGTGATTCGCTATCACTTTCGCGTAGCCCAGCTTGCGCTAATCCATTTACGAAGTCTTTAGTTTTTGGAAACCCATTTTCATATTCTCCTGGTTTGGTTTTCCAACTAAATGCTTTATTGATTGTCGGGCTAGATGGTGTGCCCATTCCATGAGGTGTTGCAGTCAAATGTCCCGGGCTAAAATAACCACCGTTCTCATCGAATTCACGAATTTCGTCTTTCGATTGTTTACTGTTATGGCCGCGTAGGCCAACAGCATCCTTGATTCGTCCAAACCCTTGCTTAGCCTCACTCATTTTGCCTGTAGCTTTCTTGAAAACAGCTTTATGGAGTTGGATTTCTCGATCGTTTGGTGTTTCCAGCATGCTCGTGGCCGATCCTGGCGGCTGTGCGGAGTATATTTCATCGGAGACTTCTTTCTTGCGGATATCTACATCATCCTCTGGTGGCATTGAATCAGCTCTGCTGTGAGACCACATGTACCCGCCGTGGTCATCCTTTGTAAATGACATGTGAGCCGCAGCGGGTTCTGATTTTCCGTGATCATCGGCACCCGTCCGTCTTGATTTTCCATACCATAGCCATTTGGATCTTGCTCCGTGTATCAAACTTATGAAGCGCTCTAAATCCCAGGTTTCAATGTCAGCAATACCAGATTTATCACGACCAACCATTCCCATAACCATTTCACCACTCTTCCCACTGACTTCTGCAAGGGTCGATTTGACTGCTTTTGGAACTGCCCAACCTTCTCCCGCAGCACCTTTCGCAGTACTTTGATGCAATCTCTGCAAAGTGTGCCTATCTAATCTCCTAGTACGCTCCATCTTCTGGGACTTTTGAAAATAAGCAATACCACGCTTGAGACTAACAACATCGAATGCGTCCTTCGCCACCGGGGCTCCATAGTAGTTGAGTCGATTTCTAGCACCCATGAGTAACCCTAGGAGTGCGGCCACAGTAGTCGGACCCAAGATTCCATCGGAGGGTTCAATATTATAGTATTCGGATCCAATTTCGGTCCACCAATCATTTATCGCTCTCTCCGTAACGTCGCAGAGACAGCCGTCCGCATATTCCTGTTCTAATTTTCCAAATATCATTAGGGCGACTTGACAAAGTTTCACTAATTCGATGACAGCGCCATAGAGAGGTATTCGATCGCTCGTCCTGTATAATTGGAAGAATTTGGCTTGTGTGGCAGCGGCCGGGGCTTGAAGACTCATGCCGGATCGTCCAGAACATCCTAACCTCTTCAAATTCTCGTTGACGATGAAATCTTCCCTATGCTTCCTTACATCTCCATTCGGCACAGGAATAACATTTAGGCCAGAAGGAAAACTGCTCAAATTTGTCACCATCAATGTTCCCAAAGGCGTGTCCTTAGGCCTGGCGTGGTGTTGGGAAATGGCGTTGAAATAAACTCGAAGTCTCGGATTCCATGTCTCCTTATCTGCAGGTATCCCCAGCACGCCTACTTGAATCCTATGTCTGTCGTCTCCTGTATAGGTCGTAATAACGAAAGTAGGATGGACTCTCGAACATGCCCATTGCTCAACAAGATAGATTTCGTAGCCTCTGAGTTCTCCGTGACGTTCTATCACTCCCGTTGCGCTGTCCTCTTCGAGATATCTGTTAGAATTCATGCATTAGTAACTAATCCCGTAATTAATGGTGAGATTTTCTCATGCCTGAAAGCAACCGGGTCAGCGAATACATAAGGCTGCTTCGCATGTTCTGGTTTGTTGCCATTTGATGTGTTCGTTGCGCCATTGGCATTACCATTCTGTTTTGCTTGAGAGGTTGAACCACTTTTATAAGAATGAGAAGTCGTTCTGGAAAGGGTCAAAAGATCCTCTCTATTCATATTTGGATCATATGCATGAGGAACAGAGAAACGAAAAGACATGTTATTCCCCTTTATGCCTTTGTCACCCTTCTGTCCTTTAGGTCCCTCAATTCACTAACTAGTAGGCTCTGCGCTGTGCTGCGGTAACCGTTACTGGGGTCCTTTGATGTGACGTCGATGGTGGAAGGGAAAACCTTCATTGCATTTATCTTTCTCCCCAGCAGACGGACGGTAAATGATGGATATAAAAGGAATTTCTCTCAATATGCCTACCTACCTAGCATGTTTCATATGATCAAGAATAGATGTCCATCTTTTTTTTGTTTTTTTGTTCTGAAGTCACATAACTTTGGGATGCATTAATCATCCAAAGCAATCGGGATTTTTGTGCTTTTGCCATTCATTCCCGGTTCATTCAAAGACGTGCGCATGTGATTTGTGATTTTATGATTTGTGATTCAGCGGGACAAGGGAGAAAGCGAAACAAGATCATTAATGATTGTAATTAAGGTCATCCATCCATCATCCTACCTGGTAGGTCTCTGAGCGTTCATCATCCCTGAACAGTGAACACCTTTAAGTGGGTAAAATTCACCTGTAGCTACCCTCCTACTCTAACAAATCATCATTCTCCAGGGTTCACTGTAACTAGAAAAGGTATCAAATCCGATGAAGACCCGCCAAAGTTAACTGACAATCATATCGTACATGTCCTACAGACGACGAACCGTATCCAAATCAATAACATTTACCATATCACGACACTGACACCACTGAGTCTACATATTCCTCTCCCACTATCATACACAATACACTACGGACTTTTCACACTCGACTTCCATCTAGCATTTCAAGCGACACCGACAAAATTATTACATACCTATATTGAAAAGGCCAAGGCGGGGTGAATAGCTATGGATGTTCTTGAGAAGGAGATCATTAAGCTGCAGAGGGATTCCAGCTTTGATCAAAGTATTGAGGATGTGGACAAGATCATACAGCAACTGGAAAAAGCAAGAGATGCTATTGAATCAGGTACATATATCCAGAATCCCCGAAGAAGCAAGTCGGCGGCGGAACTTAGGGACATGAGGACCTGGAAACATTGCATGTCCCTATTTCCACTCCCATTTGCTTCTTGACTACCATGTATGATCACTGAACAGTTTCCTTCATCTAGAACCTCAATTCGCTTCCATAACTTTAACCAAACTCCAGCACCCATTGAAGAATGGTTTTGAGAAAGTTAATGATGATATAAAAAAGATCCATAAAGCACATGGTACCTACGGCAAAGCAGTGAACTCGGTGAGTGATGCTTGCTTATGGTCTTACATAAAAACCTTGAGCTGACCATTATTTCCCTAGAATCTCCCAAAACAAACATTACTTAACGAAATCGATGCTCTTGCAAATCATACCGAACTCGTAAATCGAGCTATCACCATGCACCTTTTACGCGAAGGACAATTCGGAGTAGCATCAACATTCTACGAAGAGTTACAAAATATGAAAAAGAATGGTTCGGGTCCAGGAGCAGATCCAAACTTGCTTGCGCCAGAGGACGAGACTGTGGAGGAAGGACTCCAAGGCGAATTCGAAACCATGTATAATATATTACACCAGCTCAAAGAGCGGAACCTCCACCCAGCAATAGAATGGGCACAAAAGAACAGCAGAGAACTCGAAACTCGAGGTAGTAATCTTGAATTCGAACTCAGCAAACTCCAATTTGTTTGGTTGTTTCTGGGTCCTGAGGCAAACGGTCTCCCAGATGATGGAAATAATGGTCTACCAGGTGCACTTCAATATGCTCGTGATTACTTTCCTCGATTTCAAAGCCGGTTTCTCAGAGAAATTCAGCAACTTATCACAGCCATGGTCTTCGAATCTAACCTTCAAGAATCCCCTTATCGACAAACTTTCGACACCTCCAGCTCCTGGTCTGACGTCTGCACCTCCTTCACCCGCGAATTCTGTTCGCTTCTTGGCCTCTCAGCCGAATCTCCGCTTTATCTCGCTGCAACAGCCGGAGCCATCGCTCTCCCTACCCTCATAAAACTTGCTACAATCCAAAAAACAAAACGTACGAATTGGACAACGGATACAGAACTTGCGGTAGAGATACCGTTACCGAGAAGCATGATATTCCATCCAATTTTCGTATGTCCGGTGAGCAAGGAGCAAACGAATGAATCTAATCCGCCAATGATGTTACCTTGTGGTCATGTGGTTGCGAAGGAGAGTTTGCAGAAATTGAGCAAGGGTGGGAGATTCAAGTGTCCATATTGTCCAGTTGAGAGTCAGATGAAGGAGGCAAGGCAGATCTACTTGTAGGGTGGTTGGGTGGAAGTGGGAATCGGGACGGGGACGGGATTCTGATGAAGAGAAGTAATATTTATGTCTAAGGATGGCGTTGGTTCTGGGTTATATATGGACGGCTGAAAGGTTAGGTGGGTTGGCATATGTTAGGATATGGCATTAAAGAACGGGATGGGATGGGGCGTAACAGGGCGTTTATGGGATATGGGCTACGGGACACACAGATACATATTGCGATTGTTGAAGTGTATTTTTCAGATTGTGCAAGCAATGGAATAGCGATGAGCCGCGGAGAGGGATCTCCACACATTAGCATAAACTATCTACTCTACTTTGGAATAGAAGAATGAATGAACGATATCACTATCGATATCCTTGATCTGAAATGAAGAGTTGAGTCACAACCTCAATCGTGTCAGGAAGGGGAAAAGGGTCTGAAATATCATATCTAGACAATCATGAATGGCAAAACTTAACAAAGTACAATATATACCCAGCGAAAAGTAAAACATGTTGTCACCAAAACAGCAGTAGAGAAAGTCGCAAAATCAATCGAATGATTTAGAAGAAATCACGGTAATTGATTGTTCAGATGTGCAACAAAAGTAGGTTGGTTGTCTTTCCTGTCTTTCTTGAAGCGGTGGAGATGGAGATGGAGATGAAGATGAAGGTGTCTTGAGGGGAGAGAGTGGGATCTGAGGTGTGAGGTGTGAGGTGTGATTTTTGAGGTGAGGTGAGACAAAAGTAAGTAGGAAGAGTAACGAGAAGACCGAGAGAGAAGTTTGGAAATAATGTGAAGTGAGGTCTAAGTTCGATTTGAGGCGATTAGCGAGAAATGACAAGGAGGGAGATCAGATTCATCACTAATACCAACCAATACATTTACATTTCATTCCTGCATTTTCTAATATGCCATTTCATACTCAACTCATTATGTTCACCCTTCTCATCGTGATAGCTAGCTAGAGTATCATCAATTTGGAAGTTTACACTACTTTGTTCAAATCTGTCCACTCTCTTCACTCTCTGGTATCCTTTGGGTTGGTTATAAACTCATCAACACGTCTCTTAAGTTTCCTCCTTGGCAGGTTCTGCCTTTGCATTTTCGTCTACATGATCCGTCTTCGCTTCTGTTTCTGAGTCGGTTTCCATCTTGGTATCTTCTTCTCCTTGCACTACATTTTCCTTGGCATCATCCGGTTTGATCTCAGGGTCTGCTTGTGGTTCGATATCCATCTCCTCTTTAACCCTCTTTTCCCCAGCTTCACTTCCAATATCGTCTTCTGCTGCTCTTTTCGATGTAGTCGATTGTTCATCGTCATCCTTAGCCTCAATTTTCATGTTCGCATCTCCGTCTGCATCTTCACCCTCCTTTCCCCTCGATTCCCCATCTTCTCCTTCCTTCCCTTTCTCCTCTTCCTTTTCCTCCGTGAAATCCGGCCTCCTTCCCACAGCAGCCTCAACATCAATCCCGCCCCCAGTCATTGGCACTTTTCCCGGTTCTTGAGGTCCCATGTCTTCCATTCCAATCTCCTCTGGACCCCGCGCATGTGGCATCTCATCGTCTTCTCCCATTCCACTTTCATCTCCTTTCCCCGTCCGTTCTTCTCTCTCGGGTTCCCTCTGTATTCTTAATTGCGATGCTGGAACCACCCCAGCTTTCTGTTCCTGGCGTAATAATTCTCCTTGTGTAACTCCACCTTCTGCTCTCAAACCTTGTTCTCCAGAACCAGATGGCGATGAAGAAAGTAGCGACATCATTGCATGAGATCCAACTGATGAAATACCATTTACGGATACAGAAACTGTCTCAACACCACCCGGTCCATTCGGTCCATCAATCGTTTCGGTACTCTCTGTTCGTACCTCCCCACGAGGTGAGCCTCCTCCGGAATTCGTGCCATTTGAACCTGTGTGTGAGAGGCTTGATTCCCGCTTATTCAACCAACTAATGGGAGTCAATAATGCACCTCCTAGTGCTTCGTCACTACCTAGTCCTCCATTCACCGGAGCGGTTCCAGTTGTCGGATTACTCCAGGTAATGCTAAGAGGGTCAACGGAGGGAGGCGTTCCATTACTGAGGACAGAGGAAGAAACTCTTGGGTCTGGAACGGCAGGTGGGAGAGGGAATGAGGTGATGGGCGATGTGACATGGACGACGCGATCAAGTGCGTGGAGGTAAGAGGGAAGAGAGCGGTGGTGTTGAGTGGGATTTAGTAGGAGTTCGGATAGGCGTTGAATTGTGTGAGGTGGGTGAGTTGGGAATTGCTTGTTCAATGTATTTTGGACATCGAGAAGTTGCTTGTAGCAGATTGGTGGAAGAGATTCTAACGACGGTTGGGAGGTAGTAAAAGGGTCTTCAGTATTGGTATCGCGTTTGGGGGAGAGTGAAGGCGAGGAGGGGCGAGGGTGTGTTGGAGGTTTGGGAATTTGGAAATCGGTGATGACAATCTGAAATCATGAATTAGCCATCGGCGCACAATATAGAGTTGCTAAAGAGAAATTCAAATCAGAGCATACCTTTTCCAATCTGGTCATCAACCTCTCAAGTAAACTCGGCCATGTCGAGCTATAACCCAAATGTCAGTATAGCATCCATGATACTTCGCATTCCTGGCGATCGTAAGTATGCGCAAAACATACTAATCAATGGATTGGCCATGTGCGAGTGTCCTCAATATCTCATCATCATTATCAATATCCATTTTAAGTGTTTGCGACAAAATTGAATGTTATGTAGGTTGATTTGATTTGTTAGACACTGAGATTAGTAGGCGCGTTTGATAGTGATAAGTGGTCGGTTAGCGTTGAGGTGACGCGATTACGATTGGGAGTGATAAAGTCGAGAAATTTTGGTGGGAAGGAGCTTGGGCCGTGGGTAGAATGGAGGGGAGATGGGGGATAGAGTGAAAGCTGATCAGGTTGAATTGGAATTGGAATTGAAAGGGCAAAGTAACATGTCAACAATCAAATTGGTTATGACATGACGAGATTTGTATGATGTTGACTTTTTTTCATATACAAAAAGAGGAATGAAATGATAGATGTTTCTCTGCTATCAACTCCTCCAAACCTCTGTCACCTTCCCTACAAACAAACAGTTTCGAACGCTTTGAGAGAAAGAACCACTAACTTCTCTCCCCTTCTCCCCCTTTTGCGAGCCGATGGTGTTCTAACGGGCGTCGCCAGCCTGTTCTCATTTTGCTTCTTCGATTTGAGACTCCAATATTCAAATTCGCCTTGAATGTTTTATGTGGTATATTAGGATTCATGGCAAGATGCTATTAAATTCAATGCTTCGGTTTGAACTGTACAAGAGACTATACAACAGAAGTTGAATGGGACATCGAGGAGAGCTCTGAGAGCCGTTGCCCAATATGCGAAAGATTAGTACAGTATCCCTTTGATCTGTCAAAACGGTGACCCATCAAAGTCATCTCGCCTGGCTCAAATTCAATGATCAAATGGTCCTTCAAGTTCTAACTGTGGTAAATGAATCATGATTCAACCCCTTATTAGAATTCAATGTAGCAACAGTCCTCAAATTTATAGTGCAGATTTGATTATTAAATGGCTTTGGTATCAAGTTGGGTGTAAATATTATCGTCCATCGCGGGGTCTAGGAGGTGATCGCAGTAACGTAGGATTGTGAAACGATGAACCTCCCTATAGCCCGAGTGGCCATGAAACTGAGGGTCGCCTTACTAAGGAATGACGAACCTTCAAACGGCCTTGTGAAATTCATTCGACATATCAGAAACGGTGGCATTGAAGTGGTGAGTGGGGCTCTTTCAGCTTTCTTCAAAGATTGAAGTATCATTCAAGTATGCCTTGAGCCTGCTCTAGCACAACTTTCCAAATCAGTGTCGAAACTATGCATGGAGCAAACCCAGGTGAGAAGGCAGGATTCTTTCATGTGGAGAACGAGGGCATAAATAGCATATGCATGCATTAGACAACATCAGAACCTTGGTTATCAACCTCTCTCGAGCCCACCAGGCCTCTCCATCTTGATCGACCGTTGCTATCAATCAGCCTTAGAACACTGCCTCACTGATCCGACCACGTGCCCACCTAGAAATTAACCTTATAAGGTATCGTTGGTCAAGTTAGCCAAAAGGTCTAGAATCCACGGTTGCATGGCAATCTTGGTAACGCGGAATACACTTACTCACTTACCTTTATCCAGCTCATTTGAATCACATTCGTAATAGGATTTCCATGAACGGAACCAAAAGATTCTCAAGTACTATACCTAATACGTACATGTCCACTTTAAGATATATTGGTTGGTGGAACGATACACGTATGCCTGGATTTTCGCCTAGCTCCAACAATCCTCGTTCAACGAATATATAAGGCCAACCTCCCTCAAATCCCTTACGCTCTTCTTCTTCTTTTTCTCTCTATACTTACCTTGTTGAAATGGCCGTTGATCAAGCATAACGGCGTTGCGATACGAGTCCTCCATTGCACATCGGGGCGACGAGAATCGTTCAGTTACCTTCGGGTACCTGATCGGCGGAATTTTTGATTGCACAAACCTTCGTGGATACTTTGTTTTCATTGAGATCTTGGCTTGATGCTGGGACTTGAAGAAGAAGAAGAAGAAGAGAAAGAAAAAGAGTTTTGAGGAGTAGGTAGTGAGTGTTGTGATCATGTTTTAGAGAGGTCAACAGAAGATCTGATTCAACCAACGACTAACCTCGACCAATGAATTTGATGATGTGTGATGATAATGCATCGACTGTCTCCGTGTTGTGGAAGTGTGATGTCTTGAAGCCAATGTACACCAGTGCCAAGATGAACAATGGTTTCACTCAAGAACGAGAATGATTAGATGGTATCCTGTCACCTGAGTTCTTCCAGCCATTCCCATCCAAACTCAGTCTGGGAGTATCATCAGTCCGACATTTGTGATTGATGTATCAGATTAATTGTAAAGTTCATCTCTTGAGTAATAAAACGAGATCCATATAATAAAGTTTGTCACAACAAGAATAAAAGTAGATGTGCAGTCTTCACGTTCGTGTTGGCTTCGCTGTCATGCACATCCTCGAGACATCCAATCCTTCTCATATGCATCATGCTGCGAAACATAGATCAGATGTAAACAACGATTCGCAGAGATGGGGATGAAAATAGCAAACGACATGAACACCCACAAGAATACTGTAATGATCACGTTAATCAATCCACTCTTGAGGTCTAGCTGGGTAAGGTACTAGGAGTATGCTATGCTAATACCCGGTATGCTATGCCACCATTTTCTTACATACATACCTAGGTACATGTATTCATTCATTAATTATGCCGCAGTTTCCGAGGGTTGCCAGCCATATTTTTCATCGATCGCATATCGCTGAGCCTCACTCCATCCCACGACTGCGCCCAGTTCTCCAGGATTGAACAATGGATACACCAGCCATTCTATAGAAGCAATGATGTATGAATTGATGATGATGATGATGTTGATGATGTTGATGATGTTGATGATGTTGATGATGTTGATGATGTTGATGATGTTGATGATGTTGATGACTTCATTGGTGAATGTTTTGGGGCTGGTGAAGAATACTAGGTAGATGGATGGATGAATGGATGAATGGATGGATAGCAATCTGAAATCAGTTACGATATATAGATGTAAATAAAGTAATTTCCCTGAGAATGATTTTACAATGACTAGGTACGACACAACACGACACGACACGACACGCACACAGCATACATGATACAGCAGACACCAATAACAAACGCAACCCAAGATTAATACGAAATCATCATTCATTCAGGGTTCAACGTTGCCCAGCCTTATATGAAAGCTTTACCACTTTTTCCTCCGTATTGATAATATTAACCTGAGTACGGGGGGATTGTGGGTTTGTACAGAGGATGCACCGTTTTGGGTAACTAGGTTGGAAAGAATATAGCGCCAAGTCCCTGAAAGTTTCAGCGTTCTTCGTGGTTAGTAGGTGACCCCAGGCCCGGTTAGGCCCAGGTTAAGCCCATTCTAAGCCCATTCCAAGCCCATTCTAAGCCCATTTTATACTGTAAATGCCGCAGCTGATACCCAGTTTAGGATGTAATAAATAAATTGGCATTGTTCATTTTCGATCTCTCCTCTCCTGGACGTGCTGGAACCCCAAAGTTAATCAACAAATAAGAAGAAATAAGAAATAAGAAATAGGAAATAATAAGGAATCAGGAATCAGGAATCGGAAGTCGGAAATCAGAAGTAAGCCAATTCAACCGTTTAAGGAAGTCCATACGGATACGATACTCTCCATACTCGAGCCGTACTACTCTACCGGTACTATTCTACTCTACTCTACTCTACTCTACCCTTCCCTTCCCTACCTCCAACCTTTTACCTCCCGCCTCCTACCCAGCTAGTCCTCTCATCCCTTCATCTCTAAACACAACAATACTCGAGGGGGGGGAAATCACGCCCATTCATTCACACCTCCTCCCTTCTATACGACGCATCCTATCCTATCACGTCCTATCTATCTCTCTCTCTCTCTCTCTCTATCTACCGAAATCTTTCTCCCTCTCTCCCTCTCTCTCTCTCTCTCTCTCTCCCTCTACGAATCCCTCCATCAATTTATACGCTCTTCCTCATCCCTCCCATCCACATCCGCATCCACATCCATCTCTCCACCCTCCAACAAATCCATCCGACCTTCCGCAAAACCTAAATTCACATTCACGAGAAGAAGAAGAAAAAGGGAATCCTTCGCTATTCGACCTCCTATCGAACCCTCAACCAATAACCTCCTACAATTCACACTCGTTCACTCGCGCGCCCGTCCTTCGATTGATCGGCTTCCTTATACGACCTTCACTTTTTTTTCATCACCCGCGATCGTTTCTAGAACCCCTACTGACTTCCAAACCCACCTGAACCTCTAAAAGATCTCAACGCCACACTCTTAACGTTTCACCATTGGGTCACACCTTATTCATACACATAACGAACCAAAACACAACAGACGGCCATTGATTCATTTTTGGCCCTATCCTTCCATTTGATAGACTAGCATATCCCCAGTCTCCATCGAACATCGAACATCCAATATTCTCTTCTGCTGAGACCCCCGCTCTCAGTGCATGAATTGATTCAACCTTTTCGCAAACGATCCGTCCTTTCTTTTCTTTCCACGACAGATTCAAGTCATTCGCTCCTTGGCTCCTGTTAAGGAGCCTTAAACACCGCCGAAGTGGCTTTCAGCAAAGACTCTCGAAAGTCCCTGCTTTCTCTTGGTCAGGGACCATATGAACAGGACGCTGGAGGGTATTTTCATCGTGAAGGACTCGCATCAGGACCCAACGCGATATCATCCGCAAGAAAAGAGAAGATGTATGTCCCAAATACCCCATGGACATGGGCGTTCATGATTGCCGCAACCGTACAAGCCGCTGCAGTCTTAGCAATTGAATCGTAAGTCTTCCAACAACTGGGAAAGAATCCCGTCGTCGCTCTTCGGTTTCATTTACTAATATGTATCCCTAGATATGTGTTCGCAAAATTCCAAACCAGTCTGGTCAAAGGCAAAGAACAAATAGCTCTCGATCGAACAATTCCAACCTACCTTACTCTATTCATTTTCGGTTTCCTTTATCAAGTTGTTCTAGTGTACGATTCTCTACGACTCAAAAATACAATTCAGGTTATCGGTCTTTGCATGTACAATGGCGGAATGCTAATCTATGCCTCCATTCAATACGATCAAATTCAAACAGCCATTGAATCTTTGGGCGACCTTGGTTATGTGGATGAGGACGCAAATGTCTGGCCGGATGTGCAAGGGCTTTTGGTCGCAGTTCCATGTATTATCGCTTTCTTCTCCATATTGATGTCATTCATAGCCTGGAAGCTTTACGACGAATTTGCCTGGACGATTTACAAACACATTAGCGCTGATTTGCGGATGAAGCGCAGATTCTTGACCTACCAAGTAAGTCAAACGATGTTGCTACTTCGATTCCACAAATACTAACAAATTCAGATTTACATTGCCTTGTTGAAATTCGATTTCTTCTTCTTCTTGGGATTCACCGTTCAATTTCTAGTTATCGTTACTGGTGTACAAGATTTCGAATTCGGTTTGACAATAGCCGCCATTCCCGTTACCATCTTCATTTTATTCATGGCCGCCTTCTGGACTCGACGTGAAAATAAACCAGGAATGCTCTCAGCCATCTTCATCTTTCATTGTGGTCTGGCCTACTTCATCTTCAAACTTGCTCGAATGTACCAACCGGCCAAAGCAAAAGACTATTTGCCAGTTCGGAAAAATTTGACCAGTTTCGCCGTCATCACAATCATTCTCATTATCCTAACAATCGTAAACGCTTCGTTATGTACGGCAAACTTCAACAAAGGTCTAAAGCCGCATTTGAGAAAGCGAAAGCTTGGTGGTGAAGAGGAGAAGATTGATCACATGACCGAATTACCGGATCTCAATAATTCTCACAAACAAACGAATCGAATGACAATAGATTAAACCAACAAAAAACTTGTGGATAAAAAAGCGGCATATAACTTCAAGACATCTGATTACATATTTCGGAATTGGATCAAGGTTGTTTTGGACGGACTGTATACTGGGACGACTATGACATTGGGTTTTCTTTTTCTTTCTTGTCACTTTTTCTTTGTTCCCTTTTTTCTTTTTTTCTATGCGACTTTTATTGAGATAGTCATTTTTGAGCGAAGATATTTAAGCTTGCCTTGCCTTGGTCAATACGGCTGGCATGCAGGTAAAGGCATTCGAGGAAACGAAACCTCACTTCATACCCGGAATCGATGGATATTGGTTGGTTGGCGTTTGAAGGGGCGTACTATGTGAATTTTTGTGTTAGGAATGGCGCAAGTGTTTGCAAAGCAAGATTCAGATCGAATCGTGTGATGGTTGGATGATTGGTCTTTAGGACTATTATTCTGAATTGGATCGACTTGCTGAGCAGGAAAATCTATTTTTGACGGAGATAGAAAGAGGCAGAGAGCACAGTAGCACAGCATTCAGTAGCTTGCAATGTGATGTTTGCATATGAAAGCGCTAGCAAAGCGAAGGGAATCTTTTATGGATGTAACGGGGGAAGGAGGAAATGGGGAAGTGAATGAAAATTATGGTCTTCAATATACGTCTGACGATCTTTTGTGCTTTTTACTCTATGTGATTGCTGTCCCGGTTTTAGAAAAATAGCCTGCAATTGATAGAGGATGGAGTAATATCGTATTTTGCCTTTTTTCTACTTGTCCCCCGATGACAAAAGGAGGGGGGAGGTGGATCCACGTTGATCAAGAATGAGATGATCCTCTATACCGCGTTGGGTGTGTTAATCAAGTAGGTGTACTATTCGGCACTCCGATCCATGGTTCCTTACTCACTAGGCAAAATCCTTGCTAAACACTTACTTTGATTAGGAGAAAGATTTTTTGGAAGTGGGGATTGTGAGTTTGGGTGAACGGGTGATGAGGATGGTTCTTGGTAGTGTGAATGTTGGTCGTTAGGGAAGGAGGGGGCGATCTGATGGGAGATTTATGGAGTGAATTTGGATTCAGATTTGGACTTGGGTTTGGGGAGTTTGCTGGGTGCTTCTGGGGGGTAAAATGAGATGAGATAAAATTGGTTATGGTAAAGTTTTTTGTTGTCGCTATTGGGTGTTCAGAGGTGTGCTGTGCTGTTGTCGAGATGGAATGGTATGGTAGGTACTCGTGGTCGCATCTTTGTCATTATTTTCTTCTGATTCTGTCGTGCGAGATATGAGACTTCGTGGGGAACTTAGGGTTGGATGGGCAGTCAGTACAGTGTGAGCGTGTTGACTCCATTTCTAAGTTGAACTATTGTGCGAGTGTCACCCTTCTAGGTGTTATAGTTTTTGATTGTGGTTTTGGAAGGGTGCCTGTGTGCGTGTGCTACATTCGCCTGTAACGAATTTTCGAGGATGCTTTTCAGTTGGCTGAGATTTAGTGGGTGGGTAATTCAATGCCTTGCTAATGGTATTCATCTGTAGTAGTGCATGGATTGGGATCGACAATGAGGTGATGAAGAGTCGTCTAGTTGTGTTTTGCTTCTCTTTGATCTCCTCGCTTCGTGTGCTTGCCATCACCTTCCCCTTATTTTTCACCTTGCAAGGAAGTTCTCAGGGATCTGCACTCGATTCACTCCTTGATAGCGGAGCAATTGTGAGGTATAAAAGATCTAGGATTATCCTCTATTTCGTACCAGAGAAAGAGACTATCACGCACTGCAGTCAATCAGGGCGATTGGGATTTTTTGAGTGTTACCAAAAATGCCTTGGCTTGAAAATCTTAGAATCTGTCGTCGATTCTCTATACAGACTAAATGCAATTAAAACGAAATTTAATGTAATGACAATAGCCCAATAGAGATTGATACATTTTTATGTTTTGACTGTCGTCAAAGATGAAAATGGTCATTGTCAATGACTTTGATCATCTCTTCTATGTTCAAGAATTAAATTATTTGTAAGTATTTCAAGCTTTTATACAAGGGCTTGTACAAAATACCATGCATCTCAAGTCAACATATCTATGCTCCATTATTTGGCTAGCGGAAACAGACGCATTTCATGATATGACTTTCTGCGCATGAGTTGTTTGCTGGGTATCTGTGATTGATAGAGGTTCCTTATAATGATGAGAAGTTTTTAAAAAGAAGTTGTGGAGGTTAGTGAGTAGATATGTGAGTATGTAGCGTTTACTTTTGGTGTTGTGAAGAAACGTTTAAGTTGGCATCTGACCCCCCTCTGCATTCCGGCGTAGGTAGGATTTTGCATGGTACAAGAATAATAAACCATATTTACTTCTCTTCCTCAAACTATTCTCGGCGCAAATGTATCCAAGTCCGATGCGTCAATCATACTAAGAACTTCGAATTATCCTCGTGGCACATGGTTCAGGAATGTTGCTTTCCTGAATCAAGAGAGACTTTGCAGTAGAGAAGGTTAACTTTAAGCGGTCGAGTCTTCAGGATCAGATATACAAATACAAACATCAACTGCTCCTTGATTCATCAATACAATTGATAACTTCTACCATCGAAGAGCTCGGGGTATAGTACGCAGGATCGGCGGAAACATTTCTAGGACTTAAATTTCCAAATCGAACATTGAAAAATACAGTTTGCTCCTGGCCTGAATCATTTTTGCTGTCGTCAATTTATCTCTTTCGTCACGATCTGAAATCACTGTTACCCCCTCGCTTATGATTCTTGTTATCGCTAAGATGAGTCTAAGAGCAGACGGATAGTGCGGAAAATTGCAAAGTAGATGGACATGGAGCATGCTATCTATACTAATAGTAATATATCAGCATTCTATTGGGCACCGTATTGGAATAGTGAGTCAGGATGGCAGGGACTGGTCCGCGGCATTGTTTCTAATTTAGTCTGTCTCTTGTAATGGAGTTGAGATCAGAGAGATTTTGTCGGCAATGACTGGACCGTCACTCAGCATTTCCATATTGCTACGTCTACTTCTCTTCTGTGGGTGTACAAACATACAAATTGCCTTACAAAATATGATACTGCCAACTTAAATACTTAAGCAAGGAGGGAGTTTCTAATCACTCGAGCCTCTAGTGTCATGATGGCACGCAGAAGCGTGTTTAGGAGACCTCCAATGACCATGATTGGACATAGAAGACGGTTTGTGCCCACAATTCCAAGAGTACAAACACTTGATGTATGAGATGGAACAGGAAAATTAGCCATATATTGATCTCGAATTAGTCTAAGGGAAGCTGCGGGGAGAAACACAGAGTAGAAAAACGGCGATGTGCTTATTGATTGTTTCACTTGTTCGTTTTTTTGGATGTTTTCGTCGGGAAGTGTCACTGTCACTATGATTATACGGTTCCTGGTGTCATCTTTGCTTGCACATTCTCCTCTTTACTGAAAAGGAGATTTACTACAACAATTACCATTTTTCATATACACGTGTGGCACAGATTTCAATGCAAAAGTATTTGGACTATCGAAAAGTTCAGAGTTTCAAAAGGATGATCGATTCCGCCTAAGCGCCATATGGGATTCTGCTCGGAAATAGTAGTTTTTGGTAACAACTTGGAAGTTGAGAGATGTATTTATATTGGCTGGCATTATTTTTTTAGCGGCGCAAAAGAGGTCGAGAGGTCGAGAGGTCTCGCGAGAGTCAGTGAACAGATGCATTGGTCTATAAACTCTTCGAATTCACTCACAAGATTTCTCAAATCTAGTTTTGAAAAACGATTAAGTGCTTGATATCGGCGTCGAGGCGAACTGAATTTGATTTGACTACTTATCTCGCAAACGTAGTTTCGACATTCACATCCACGAATACCTCTTTTGAAACAAACGGCGACAAAGTTTCGCTGTACGGAAAGAATCAGATGTTCAGAGCTTTGAGTTTTAGATTTGATGTTTTTGAGCTGCAGCAAAAACTTGTCAATGTTTGTTTCGTTCGACGTTTGTTATTTCTCTCAAACCTCAGCATCTTCTGTTAAGAGTATGTCCTTAGATACAGTTATATAATACTAATAAAGCATTCGCCCAACTACGGTCTAAAATTAGCAATTCTAACACGAATCGCTCCTATTGAAAACATCCCACTATGACGGTATCGACTTGGTCTCGGGTTCAATATGAAGACCTAGACCAATGGATATCATATTGAACTTGAGCTTCGTAGAAATAGGGGACAGTTTTACGATGAATAGATGCTATTGCATTAATTAGTAAAAGAGGTAGGAATGTCTAAAGAGAAGTTTTAGTAAATAGGTAATCTTGTGTTGTGCTCAGAGCGTTGAATTTCAATGGGCGTCAAGTGTGTGAGATATGATATTCAGTTCTTTCGCCCCAATACCTGTAAAACTAAGAAGCAATTGTATAAGCTTCGGGCCAGAGTGCGTCATTTGCCACTGCAGAGTAATGCATATATGTGAGTAATGTAGAGTCAAGCTAGTCACCAGCAAACGAGAGGTGAGTCGGAATTCTTAAGTCTTAAGAAGTCCAGCTGAACATCAACAGTCAAAGGTTCACTTGATCGAGGTATTCTATTGTCAGGAGATCATCATTTGTTGATTGGATGTTCCCTTTTCATTATCATGTAACTGTTGTCACTACACCCTGCTCCATGGAGTGTTGTATACCAATTATTGTTGCCATCTATCTCTATTCCTATCTTATCTTACTCAATACAACACTCTGACAATCAATACACCCGTTTCATTCCAAATCACCTCTTTCCACTTTTTCAAGCTTTCACTATAACATAAAATCGTATCAAGAAGCTTCAGTTTCCTGCATAGCAGACGCAACGCGGCAGGGTATTTTGGAACAATGTCTCTGAAGCTTGTATGAACTAAAGATCTTTATGAGAGAGGCTTCTTCTGCAAAATTCTTCTCCAACAGATACCCTATGTTGATTGAATTATGTCAAGGAGAGCCAAGGTATAAGTTCGTCCGCAGCGCTCTTGCGACGGAACATCTAGCTGATATTAATGTTCGCTTTTCAGCATCTGTTCTGCTAATCTTGTTTGGCTCGGTGTTTTAGAAACCTGTGTATCACTATACTCCATTAGAATTATACGACTATATCTCCCACGGGAGCCCCAATTACCTTATTCAAAAGTGTGACTTTCGTCAATGTGTAAGCTTTCGCGTTCTGTTCGACATGAAAATGGTACTCTATCTGGGTCTTGTGATACGTTCCTCGTGAGAAAACCGAAAAGGTATGATTCTCAGCTTATATGCATGTATACCAAATTGATCAGACGCTTCTAGCAGGACTAATGTTAACAAATCCGTCCACTCTAGCTTCAATGGCGAAGTAACCCATTGAAACTACACTCAGCAGTAGATGACCAATAATGAACGAATATGAGATCATCTATAATTTATAGGTAGACAGGCTTGAAACAAGTCCCCTCGAGACCCGAAAACCAGCCAAAGAATTATAATTACCGAGCACGTCATGGGTATTCCTTGTACCTCAGGATTTTTGAGGAATATAAAATTCATCAATAAAGCAGTGTATGTGATGATGACCCGCAACAAATAGATTTCAGGTTGCTATCATTCTTCTATATGCTGATGTGCAGTGATCTTGAATGGATTTCAGCAGTTCGAGGAGAGTGACAAATTAATATAATGCTCGCATCACCTACTTTGTGATTTGAATTCGTTCAGTAGACCAATCCACATGGCAAAAGCCACAAATCGCTGATTCTTCTTTCTCTGAAAAGACAGACACCTATGACAATGGGTTAAATAACTTTGTTCGCCGTGTGTTCAGGTTTATACAGTAATGATTGTTTGGAGATATAACCTATTTCTTATCGCTTGAGTTTAAGTTGTCGATGTGGAGAAAGGAGGGCAATGACCCGAGACTATTTAAAGAGACATGTCATATTCACAAAGAACAAATATATGTGATTTTTTCACATTGATAGAATAGCACGTAAGTATATGTGTGAAAGCCTCGCATTTGTCTAAACTATTTTACAGTCCGTTCCCATTCGCTCGCGTCAAACCCCAGATTCCATTTCGCCCATCAATCTTTCCCTACAATGATAAATCTAAGCACTCTTGCCCTCCTTTCTCAACTGCGCCAAAATGGCCTCTCCTACTCCGCTAGCACTTGCAGGATTCTGTCCTGTGATAATCTTTCCTCCATTTGCCAGTGCAATGTGTGGCGCCCAGTCATCTGACGCCTTTTCGAATTTGCCATTGCTAGCTTCACCTAAAGCCGTTTCTAGCTCAAAAGGCATGTTTGAAAGACCTATGTATGCTTCCTCCTCGGTATTTGAGAATCCAGTCACCGGGGCGTTTTCAAGCAAAAATTTGCCGGAAGGAAGTTTGGCATATGCAAGGGCTGCAGGGCCGTGACAGACAGCTGCGATAATGCGATCCTTGGTGTGGAATTCAGAAATGATTTTGTGAGATGTTTCGTTGTGTGCAAGATCCCACATTGCTATATATGTTTTAGTAAGTTGTGTGCATAGTTTGTGACGTCACTCCATAAATGGCAGAGCGAAACCGGGGGAGTACTTACGACCATGACCACCAGCATAGAAAATAGCATCAAACTCCGAAGCTTTGCCTACGAAGTCCGAAAGGGGTGCAGTATTCTTCCATAGAGATTCTTCGTTCTTCAAGAAATTGACAGAGACATCATCCTTGGAAGCTTCAACAGATGCGGGGTCTAAAGGCGCAGCACCACCACTGACAGAGGCGACAGTGATTTGAGCATGAGGAGAGAGAATGTCATATGGGTGAGCAAACTCGGGCTGGAAAAGAGGAGAAATGTTAGCTATATGGTTGTAGAGAGAAGAAAAGATATGGGGTAGATGATATTATGTGCAAGGTGAAGGGAGACGAACAAGATACCAGCCAGTAGGCTTTCCAGTGTTGCCCATCTTATCATGGGAGGTAAGGACGAAGAGAACCTTTGGTTGTTGGGTTTGAGAAGACATTTTGCTGTGTATGGTAGATTGAAGTTGGTTGGCAAGTTGTTTGTTCTTGTGTGAGAAGAGTCAAGATATGATTGCAATGAAGATGATGTTATTTGAGTATGAGGATTTCTCCATTTCGAAGAGATTCACTCCTCTTTATACAACTTCCCCTCACGAATTCATTTGATTCACTTGTACCAACTTGTGTGACATGACGTGCCAAAGTTTCGGCGATAAAGGCCACGCGCAGTACCTACAGCAAAACCAACAGGTTGGGCTCCTGATTCAATAGATCAAGCTGCACGCAATTGCATCCCAAAAGGCACATCGCAAAGGTCAATCAACCAAACTGTTGGAAATGACGTGAAACTCTTATCCCTTCTTGGCACCCACATCCGATAATCTGGTTAGAAGCTCTATCAAATATATCAAATAGGCTCAATTACCCCCTCATTGGCATCAGTGAGAGCCAATCAAATCATCTCCTGGACTCCGGAGTTGACGCTAGACCCACATGATTTATCATATCAATCTAAGCAGCTCGAACCTTAAAATCCGACATGCAAGTCTGAGAAGTAGCCAATTACCTCGTAGTATTGCTTGCGTGCTTACTTATCCATTTAAACTCCGAATGCTGGATGGCAGAGCGGTGATAATACCTCTGCTTGGGACTTGTGAGACATTGAGAATTCGAGGATTCGATAATTCGATAATTCGAATGAACGAGAAAGTGGGATTGGTAAAGTAAGATCTTACCATATGTCATCTTTCCGAGGGAGCTTCTGGATGCTTCCGACAATTCTGCAATTCTGTCTCGAAATAGAATGCACCCAGTATCTAATCCATACCACACATATATCTTGGGATCGTCTATTCTCGGCAGATCTATGCTGTCATTCAAACTACCATGCCACGCAGATAACCCCGAACGTCATGGACTATAACGTCCCCTTACCCGGCAGATAAACGTATCACGATGTCGAATTTTGCACGCTGTGGTCTGTCTCCCAGCGAGTAAAGTGTAATGGGTTGAATCTGTATGTGGTGTAAGCATTTCACCTAGGAGCACAAAATGTAATCATCGCTCTCGCTATTCCCTAGAGAGAATTATGTACGAAGTATATCCATATTCTCATTTAAATAAACCCCGAAAGAGCATTTTTGATTTGTAGGTGGAGAATCCAGAATGTAACCTTATTAATGTACGACGGTTATGTAGCTTCATTTCCCTTCATTCCATCATTCATTTTCCACATTCCGATCCATTTGAGAGAAATGCCATCGCCTTATTTACCATTCCACCGACAATCGCGTCTCATTACTTCCTATTCCCATCCCGCTATGTTTCCTAGTTGTTTATCTTCTCGTTGGTTACTTCCTTGGCCTCTGCCTTCTTGGCTGATAGAAATTGGCTCAACCATTGAAAGGCCTCACTTGATACGATCAATCCTGTGCTGACGACTGCCTTTCCGTAGCCGAAATAACCCTGATCTTCCGTCTTCTTGACCTCGCTGTTGTATTTTCCCAACACATACTCCTTTCCCTCGTTACTTTTTGTTATTGGATAGAACACAAAGTATTTTCCATCACTATAGAGTTCGCCTGTAGGTTTCTTGACGGCAGGGAATTTCGATTCAATGGTGGACAAGGTAGAGTCGCCAAGCTCATCGGCTTTCGCGACGTAAGGAGATACATATTGGTAGGGTTTTTGGAGGTATGGAATGATTGGTTTGCCAAACTTCTCGTAAGAGGTTGCGGTCAGGTCGATGGATCTTTGGCCATAGGGGTTAGACTTGAAGGTAGAGATGGAGTCGTGGATGAGAGGGTAAGATGTGAGATGCTAAATTTCATAAACGTCAGTATCATGGCTTGAAACGAACTCATGATTTGGTGGGATGACTCACATCGAGGAAGACGGATGAGGGAGTCTCGCCGTTTACTTGAGGTGCCATTCTTTCTCAGACGTATAGGACAAACGTGGTATTATATGTGACTCTTGATGGGTACGATGTTAGCTGGGTCCTGGATTCTATGCCACCATGATATCGCTTGTTCTAGATCAGAGCTTTATGGTCGTGCCTTGCAGAAGGCGGCAATGGCAAGCAGGAGTATACATACTAGTTGCTTGGTATCTGACAATTCGTTCCTGGATGGAAATATGACTAGTATGAAGCTTTGCGTGAGATGGGTGCGAGATGGTGGTCAGAAGATTGAAAGTAAGTTGTTGGTCAATGAAAGATGTGTGGTGTCTAAGGTTAATAAGTGATGGAAGAGCAAGAACTATGGGTAAAGTTTAATGCGCCACCAGTCTGGATTTTTTCCAAGAGAAGTTGATACGGAGTACAATAATAATAAGATGAGATATGTGAATTTGCATGTGCTCAACGCATTCCCTGATCCGATTGCAAACGGGTTTTAAGCCGGTCCATTTGAGGATTGATTGGATATATTCAGCCCAGGGGCTAAATAAGCTATTGGGATTGGCATATGATAGAGTTTTTTTGGTTTGGTTTGGTTTGTTTTGTTTTGTTTTCTTTTCTTTTCTTTTCTTGTCTTTTCCTTCCGTTCCTTTCTTTGTTTCTCTTTCTCTTTTAGGGGAGGGTGGATGACGGTGCAGAAGATGTTGTCAAGTGGATTGAACTGGATTGGACTGGGTTGGCTTGGATTGGATTGGATTGGATTGGACTGAATGGGATTGGATTGATTGATAGAAAGTCAGAAAGCGATAGTGGAATGATGAATGGTGTGGCCCGGGTGGCCCGTGTGAATTAAACTTGTTTAATCCAATGCCAAGAAGCATGTGAAAGTGTAGGTAATTCCATCAGTACGTACGGGTCGATCAAGATCAAAAGTTATGTAATCTCTGACCTACCTACTCGTAGTGCAACATTCCTCAATTTGATATTATAAAGGGGAAGGAGGCTACGAGAGAGGTCTTCTTCATGACCGACCTAGGTACTAATGGCTTGATGTTGTGTATTTTGCTTGAACACGGTCAACTTTACCTGAGAGACAGCCATGTGAAGAAGAAGTCATTCTCAAATGTCTTATCTCTCTTATCGCCCGCTAAAAGTTTCCCATCCAGCCTATCTTTTCCTTTCACCGATACGGCACACATGTAGGATGATCTTAAGTGTGTGAATCTCCTCGAGATCTCTTCCGTTCTTATGAATACCAGATACCAATGACGAAACCCGCTTTGCCTTACATATATCATATATCGTATATCAATTACCATATGTCATATATCAGAAACTCTTGCAAGATACGCTCATGAGATTCGACCTAGATGGTGCTTCTTCTTTATCAAACTTCCATCTCTCTCCTGGAGGACACCAGGTGCATCTGCGAGACCTTTGATGTGTTAGGACCAACATGAAATCTAAACCCTACGCGGATCATCTTTAAGACCCAAGGATTATGTATGATTTCTACTCTGTAGTAAGTATCATGTACATTGAACCCTTGATCTCCTGCCTATTTGTATCATACGATATACATCAGTGCCAACTAGATGTGGCTGGATATACATGATGATACACCACCCCTTTGTATTTTGTTTCAATATTGTGCATCCTATCCCAATTGAAGCCGAGCTTCGTATCGCTGGATGGAAGGATCCGTCTTACGCATGGCGAAACTTAACTTGGACCAACTACGCTCTCAAGTTTTGACATGTGAAGCTGTGCTTATCGTACACTATGGGAGGAAGATAGATGACTTGAGTCTAGACTGCAGGAATGACTACACACATGCATCACTAGGGAGTTCTTGTATATTTAGTAACCAATATTACGACTTTTTCTACGTTGATTAGATCTAGAATGAATCAGGTCACCGGCTTTAGACATTCTCCTTAGCCTCTAATGAAATATTCGACGTCGAATCATATAGCTCTTCCGGGTACATATATCTTTGTATAGAAAAGCTAAAATTGTTAGAAGAGAGTTAAAGACTCGGCTGGGCCAGCTCTGCGTTGGAAAAAGAGCTTGTGTCTTTGCATCGATACATAGCACTCGCTTTTCCTAACAAAGAGACAAGTTGAACTCTCTGAACACCTCTTTTCCACAGTCTCTTACGTATCGGACTCTCAATCACATCATACCGCCGAGACCGAATGATTCAACCAATGCATTGCCACGTCTGATGTGACTGACACTACAGGTCTCAATTAGCGATTTCGGAAAGCTCTGTTCTCTTATGGTCACCGCCGTGGTGCCGACTTCCTCCAGATTCAGCAACATTATCATCTTGCAATTTTGTGAAATAGACATATCCTGCTATAACCGGAGTGCTTCATTGCTCTAATATTCTTGCAAGAGTTGCAAACGACTGATCGTATCATTATTCCACCACGCCTTCAAACTCAACGCGCTGGCTACAATCTACGTATCCTTCATCGTTTTAATCTTTTTTCGTGCTTCCTCATTAGCTGGCATGGATCGTTTTCTTGGAATATCGTCATTTGCAGCTAGCGTCGGCTCGGCATCCATTTCAGATTCATCTTTGACAACCGGCTCGGTATCCCACTGCTGGGCCGCCACAGAAACGGAATCTCCTACGCGGCCGGTAACTTGTGCTCTTTTGCTCGTGGCTCGGAATAAGTATATCGCATGTCTATTTAACGCCGTATAGTATTCTGACTCTTCTTCTGTGTGGTTTGATGAGCGCCAAGGTCGAGGTTCTCCGGGAACTGTAGCTTGATCAGCATCAAAGTGAATGATGAACCCAAGACTCCACATACATAAATGTATCCAAGCCCAACTTTCGACCAACCAGGGTTGATCGGGGCATGCGATATCACAAAAATATAGATCATAACCTTCCCCAGGATATCTTTCCTGGTATCTTTCCTGCATCTCTTTCAAGACGTTGTTGACTTCTTCATCTGTGTAGCCGTGTTGTGAGCTTGTTGCTTTGGCCAGAATCTCATCGTAAATGCTTTCGTATGATAGTCTCATCATTCCTTGGTTACTTTGCATTATGAAAATATGCTCAAAATATAGAGAATCCGAGCTGTGACAAGCAACAGTATTTTGACGTGGAACTTCAAGTTGTGTGGTGTGTGTGTATTTGAGGAAAAGAAGCAGTCAAGTGGCAGATAAATGAACGTGGAATTTTCAAAAGTGAGGAAGCTGAGGATGATTGCCATTCACTGGATGAATTCAAGATGAAGTACAGCTCTTATGTTCAATTGTGCTGTATGTATCTAGTGCTGTATTGTTCTATCATATCAATCGATGGCTTTGCGATTCAAAGCTTTGAATCTATTCTAGAGATAGGTATCTTGTCTTCGCTCAGAATCAGAACTACACACCTCGTCAAAACATACATAGTAAGTAAGGCAAAGTATCTCGCCATATTTCCTATATCAAATGACCTACTGATACTAATAAATTGGGTGGCCTTAATAATCTCTCCATTTCATCCTGCTTCCAGCTGCAAATGGTCCACCAGCGTCGTAAATCAAAATACCTTCCAGTTATCCTCATCCCCTCTTTCATTTGTTCGTGTTTACCTTTGTCTTCTATGTATCCACCAATCTAATTTTTATTCATATAGCTTCCCATCTTCCCTACGTTCATATGAGTTTCGTAAGGTCGGGAAGTTGACAGTGTTGTAACCTTTTCGAGATAACATGAATCAAAAGAAAGCAAACTACCACTGATTCTCCAAACACGGGCGCCCGTCTAGTCAGGCATAAGTCATGAAACAGGGAAGGTATCAAGCAAGCCAATATCAATTCTATAGATTGATGTTCCAATATGCTCAGACTTGGCGCATATCATGCGTGAGATAGAACTGTAGAAGTATGGATCCTACTTTCGATGGGTTTTTGGTGGATAAGGCGATCCGTTCGCGACTCTGGATGCTGGAAAGTCGTTGGAAGAATCGGTAGAGGTATCGATAATTCATGTTCTGTTGAGCCGTGACGATTCACTCATGACTCTGAACTCGGAAGTTTGAATGGCAGCATCCTTCTCGGCAGGGCATCCTCTCTATTGAGCTGTGTGAATGCATGCAGGCTCTTGGATCTTACCTGGGTATGATGTTATTGGCAGAATTTGTGAAAGTTTCTGTGTCGTTTCTTCGCCAAGTCTCGGTTTAATAAGTTGATCAATAATAAGATGGCATTTGGAAGCTTTGAGTTGCTTTTTGAATCAGCTCAAATATTTTTAGGTCCTTCCCCTTTTGCTTGGTCATTGCAATGTCCACACTTGAAATTGAAGCAATTTCCATCTCCTTCTCAACGTAGTCTTTTATCAGGGAGTCTATACAGCTACAAGTGAACTGACCGTTTTTCAATAACCACCAAGATCTGTTTTGGGGCCGTGCTTCTTGAACACCTACATAATAGATTGAAACCTCCGATGTTCTACCATTCTGCGCCTTTCTGAAGAGGAATACTGACATACCTTTACCCAAATTCCCACCTAAATTCCCACCTCGAGGTTGACACATAGATATTCAAAAGTTGCTCGTCGGTGCAAGTATATACATCACTGGTCCTTTTTTTGGAACCGTTGCTTTTCAACTGTTATATCTTGACAGTATATCGAAAGAGCGATCAAATAAAAGACAAAACGTTTGAGCCGCAGATGTGGTCTACAAGACTTGACATACGTTTACCTCATATTGTTTTAGAAAGTTGCCAGCTGAGGACAAAACTTATACCAGCATAAATGGGGATAAACCCCCCTGAAAGGATGGTTCGTCTCCAGCTATCCGAGGTATTAGGTGAATACCAACGACCAATTCACTTGTTTGGCCTTACAAACATAGTTCAGAGATTCGTCGTTCCATACAGGTCCTATCTCTAAGCCTTTCTATTGACGATTGTATTCGACGTGAATAAAAACGGTACAAGTCTTCACTGAATTAAAGCTCCAAATAATTGATAGACTCGTACCATTATAGATTTCATTTGCCAAGCGAGGGAATATTTGTCTCGAAGAGCGAGTTGATCTATATGTCGATATGTGTTTCGACAATAAAATGCTGGCAACGAGGTTCTAATGCAGAAACCTTTCAAAAAAAAAAAACTGAACTCATGTAGAGCGTACTTCCGCCTTGGATTTGAACTATGATAATACAATCTATCCAGTTTAATCTATCTTCCCGGGGTATTATTAAAAAGAAATCCTGATTCGACTCCACTTCTCATTTGCGACTCCTGTTGACACCCCCTTTAACTTCTCTATTACCATTGTCAGTTCCGCTCCTCGACTTCTCAAGCTCAGTACCAGTATCTGGTGTCATCTCGAAGGTTACTTTCTTATCCTTTTTCCCATTCTTCTTCCCATTCTCGCACAGCCCCAAAATTGAGCGAGCCTTAAAGACCGCGAGCCAAACACCATAAACTATGCTTACAATCGCCGTGATGAAATCCAAAATATGCACAAACCACCAAATATGCTGAGTACCCAATCCACAATTTACAAATTCAAATTGCCATTCCCAACTTTCTTCGTCGAACCATAAACTCAGTAATCCCGCATTTCCAGCAAAATCCCCCATCATGCTCCGTACAGTTACTTCACGCAGTCCGGGTATACCTGATTGATTCACTAGATGTTTGGCTTCTGGGTATCTATCGCACCTCCACTCTCTGTCCTCTTCAGGTAAGCTTTGGTTGATGTAGTGATAGATATCACAACCTTCGTGATCGTGGCCGGTTAGAATAATACCATGTCTTCCCATGCCTTGCCCGTCCACATGCGCACTACCGCTCATGCCAAATACACCTTCTAGCATACCTTTAGAGGCATCGCGGGAGAGGTGGTTTTGTTCCTTAACTCCATTCTCGAATTCTCCATCGAAGAAATCAAAGAACGGTCCATCTACACAGATCCCTTCGTCTTTATATAATGGGATATGAGTGAGGACTAATGTAAAAAGTGCGGATCGCTCAACGGCGTGAGAAGTACTTATCAAATCATTAAGAAATTGATATGACTCGTCTTGAAGGTCTTTGTCCGACACGGGCGTATCGAGATTCATGTCATTAAGGATCATAATCCTAATTTCGGGAATATCCCTCCCATCCGTCTGGATGCCTGTCGTAGAAATTGAAGAAGCGTTATGGTTGGAAGGTAGCTGAAATCGAAGTTCGTAATTCGCTTTCCCAAAAACGCGCTCAAATCGAGCTAGTCGATCCTTTGAGATATCTCCAGCATACCCAACATCATGATTACCTGCCACGTTCATAATCCTCTTCTTCCATGCCGCAGCATCATCCCCCAGCATTATTGTATTCTGAAAGTCGAAAGCGGGCGGCGACATAATCTCATCCGGAATCCGTTCTCCATGTTTGAATACCCGATTCCAATACCTTCGCCCACGTTCCTCGAATTCTTCATCATCTATCCATTGACTCCCCACAAGATCTCCAAGTACAGTAACATGTGTAGGGTCCAACCACCAGTGCGTTGCGCGGTAGATATGTCCCAAGTAATAATCATTACCAATGTGGTCAAATCGTTTGCGATAGACTTCGAAAGCCTTAGGAAGGTCGTCGAGCCAGAAATCTACTATATCATGGAGGCTGTGTCGCGCACGCTGTAGAAGGCTATGTTTCGTGCCGCTGACGATTCCTGAATCTTGAAAGAATTTCTTCAAATTTGGCAAATTGACAGAATCGATGTCTCGTATGGATGATTCACCCTCGAGTTGAGGATCCCCCAAAGCGAGGAGCCTGAACGGTGCTACCTTGCTGGGATCATACAAATTTGGACGCGTGTGTTGACGAAGTGTATTCACGTATGCTTCTGAAGCATCGTATTCAGGAGAAGGAAAAGCGCAACCATGGAATGCAGGGTACAAATAAAGATAAGAGGTGAAAGTCAAAGAGAGAGGCACAAGAAGAAAGAGTGCATAACGAAGCACCGATATTAAAAACATAAAGAAGGTAGCATTTGAGCACAGCACACAATTAATCTGGCAGTAGAGACTGAAATAGTATGGGAGAGATATGCAAAGTGATGGTGGTATAGAAAAAGAGAAAAGGAGACAAGGAGAATAGGAGTATATTTTTCAAATATCTCTCCTTCTTCTTCTTCCGTCCGATGAATTTCATCAAACCCACGCAGATTTGGCAGTTGAACAAATTACTGGCCAGAACCCAAACAAGGGCTGGCGGGCTAAGAAGGGTCCGAGCTCTGAGAGATCTCTCATATCACGTGATAGTAGTAGTAAGCACGGTAAGATGTCACGGATGTCTCGAGAATGGCAAGAATGGGCACTCTCGAGGCATTCTCAAGGCACTCTTGAATTCTGCCCCGCAAAAGAATGGAACATGGAGGAGAATGACCGAATGATCAACGCTAAGCCTCCACGGTGATCCTCTACCCGATGTTAGCACGCCGGCTGAAGTCATCCTTCCGGCTTTCCACATGTTCGGGAAGGGAACTTTGATTGGGAATTCATGCTAAGCCTTAATATCTCTAACGTGTCTTGGCTACTTTGACTTTACTGCCCCCGCTACATTTGAAAAGCTGTTGAAGGCAACAGAATAACAGCGAATAGAGTTGATGGTCGATTGGAGGAGAAGCTTTATTAAGCATTTTCCAAGCATTCGTTAAGTATCATCTGACAGTCATCGGAATTGATTTTACGACAGACTTTGACTACATCAATGTTAAGGCGTGAGTTACACCTCCGCCTTCCTTCTAGAAAGCTTCTAGCGTCATAGTCAGGGCGATCTTCTCTTCCTGTCATTCTGCACAGTACATCTCAGCCTCACTACTAAGATGTAATATCGTTGCATTCCGTTGCATACTGACTACCTACGCATGCACAGAACGTTTCCACCTCATGAATGCGATCAACTAATCCATCATATATATGGTAGGTGAATCTCCTTGTCCACTCCTTATATCCATCTTTTCTTTACCAACTTTATTTTTCACAATTACCATAACGAATCATAAAGTTGCAACTCGTACGATTTATACTAGATTTCCCCACCTAAGACACAATCTTCCTTACTTCCTCTGGATGGAGTAGAGAACCATTCATCACACTATGCCTCTTCTCGATAAATTACTCAATAAGGGAGGCCAAGAAAAGTCTCCCGAGGAAGACGTCCCTTCCGCTCATGTCGAGCACCCACCTTCACCACTGTCTCCTAGTTCCTCTGCCATAATAAACGAAGCACCGCCAGGTTACACAGCTACCGATAGTCCCGCCGAATCAGATCTGACAGCTGCCTTTTCCAATCTCAATGTCTCGGAATCAAGTATTCCTGCTTTTCCAAATGAAGATCTATGTCTTGCACACCTCAAGTTATTAAAGACTTTTCATAGTCTCAAACAAGATGTCGGCTATACCGATGGATTATTTGGTCTATGGGATGCAAGTTGCGAACTTCCGGTCGTCAAGAACCGTGACAAAGCATTAGTAGCGATGCGAGAAAAGAGATGGTCTCTGTATATTGCGAGAGCGGTAGAGAGATTTGAGGATTGGTGGTTGAAGGTATTGTGTGAGCAAGAGAATGCCACTAGGTTGCGGCGAAGCTACATGAAGGCTCACACGGGCTTCATTGATTTTCCGAAGAATGGTGTAGCTAAGGTTTGGAGCACGTCAATGTTGCCCCCCATAGGTGTGTTCTACTTTCAAAATTTACACTCATGCAAAGTATGTCCTAATATTGAAACAAGATGTTCTCATGGTATGGCATTCATTGATGCTCAACCCTCGAAACTACCTGGAAGATTGTATGCGCTTTGGTTTGAAAGATTTATGGGCAACAGGCATGCCCTGGCATGCTGTTGATGCAGCTATTGATACTAGCTTCAATTATCAAGTAACAGAAGCAGCCAAAGAAAGATTCACGAATGCCACAGGGCATCATTGGAGCAATGCCAATGATCATGCAGCAAAGACACTAATTTGCCCGCGATGTTCCCAGGTGTTGGAAATTCCATGGACTACATGCGCTGCAAATGAAAAGCCATCACTGCAAGAGTATGAAACTCGTTCTAGTCTGTTGGAAATTGTTGCTAATATCAATAGAATTATGGACATGAATGGTACAGGTTATGGAGATCGAGATTTTTCACACATTTGCCACAAATGTGGTGGTCAGATCAATCACGATCTATTGCGAGTTGCCAAGTTTAAGAGAGAGGTCGAAAATCTGATCATGAGAGACTCTCCTCTAGGGGGAACAATTCTATCTCCGAGTACTGGAATTCCGGATGCCCCAGATCCAAAATCTGGTTCCTTGCACCAAAATGCATTTCCCAATCGTATGATTACTATTGAGCTGAAGGTAAAAATACTAGAACTAATTGACAAAAAGCCTAACAAAAAGCCCGCTATGACTGATGTTAGGGATCTTATCGAGGGAGTATTCAGAAATAAATCAGCCCTAAAGAAAATCAACAATGGGAGGAGCACTTTGCTACGAACAGAGTGTCTTTCAGTTCGAAAGATGATGTCGAGATATTGGCAAAATTCTTCAATATTCGCGCTTGAACTTGGAGGTGCTGTAATTCGTCAGAGTGTGTTTGTCGATAGAATGGCAAGTCTTGACTGGCTTCGTTCCCCAGCTGCTCGAGAGACGATGGGTCGATTACTTACAAAGTATGAAAGATTCATTGAAATCATGCGTCTCCATCCAAAAGAGGTTTGTGTTCCAACCTTGGATGTTGATTTGGCATGGCATACTCATCAATTATCGCCAAAACAATACTACGAGTATACGTTCTCAAAATGCCAAAAATTCATCGACCATGATGATAAGATGGAAGAAGATGCTCTCTCTACTGCCTTCGAATGGACAAGTAAGACCTATGAGAGACTCTATAGGCAAGTGTATTCTGAATGCACTTGTTGGTACTGCGAGGGTAATGTCTGTCCTCTCTCCACCCAGTCCATGCTAATATTTTTCAGCCATTCGCTCCAAGCATATTGATTCGTCAAGCCGTGTATTCGGAACCTCCAAGCACGAAAAGGTTCTGGACGCTTTCTATACATCTGGAGCAGCAAGAAAAGTAAGTAAACTATTAGGAACTCACTAGTTTCTTTGTTTTCACTGCCTGCTTTTATTCTTCGATTATACATTCCACTAAATAGTACCCACCCCATGTACTCCTTTTATTTCCACGTGTAACATTGATGCCTCGTCTTCTTTCGAATTTTATTCTTGATGGCAATACTGATCCCAAGTCTTACAGTGTGACCCCAACAATAGCGCACACATCAGCGCGCACTCCGCTGTTCGAGTCGAAGAGTCCGAGACCCGTGCTTCAGTCTTCGATAGACTTAGCCAAAGAAATAAATCGGAAATGAATCGCGCCTACGACAAAGCTCGTCAAAGAGCTGAACAGAAGGGAAGAACTATCCCTCCTAGAGATGATTATTATTACACGGCTTGGGGTTATCCATATATGATGTATGGACCGTACATGAGTCCGATGTACGCCGGTGCTCCGATTTACTATGCAGGGGATCCGTGCGTGATGCCTGTTGGTGTGGGTATGGCCGGAGCTTGTGCAGCAGGATCTTGTGGAGGTACTGTTGCAGCTGGTGGATGTGGCGGCGCTGGTGGATGTGGTGGAGGTGGTGGAGGTGGTGGTGCAGGTGGTTCAGTAGGAGGTAGTGGCGGATGTGGAGGTGGCGGAAGTGGCGGAGGAGGCGGGGGTTGCGGTGGAGGGGGTGGTGGTTGTGGCGGTGGCGGTGGGGGGTGTTGAACACCATTTTGCTACTCGGCGATGATTCGAAATGAGACGACACGCGCTTATGATGTCATGATGGTTTTGGCTTTGGGATATGAACTACTCTTATATTGTTATCTTCCTAACCTCGCTTCCTTATACAATCCTTGTTTTCCTCTCTAGCCTTCTATTATTTCAGGCTTCGTAATTTTGTTAAGATAGCTACGTATGAAAACACTCTTTAATACATTCAATGCATATCATACATCTCGTATTTCACCTCAGGACAAGAGCGATTTGGTTAAATAAAAGCGTAAACTATACATGTCATACTTCATATCGGAATAAGAAGTGTATTACTCACTGTATACTAATTGGAATTTTCTACTCTTGAAATATTAATATCTGATCTTTAAATGTCTTTATCATCGTCTTTGAATCAAATCCATTGATAGTACAAATATTAAAGTAACTAAGCAAATATAAAGACATTATTTAAATTAGATTTAATATTCAAAGCATATATTTCTTAGTTATATGATTCGTATTTAAAATTCTATAATAATATCTTCTAGATTAGGATATTAATAGATTTAGTAGTAGTAGCAATAGTAGTAGTATTTATTAATGTTTATCAAGCCGACTTAAGATCGACTCTAGGAACCTTTCGAGAGGTATAGAAACATATTAAACTATAAACTTATAAAATACCTTAGAAAGCAATTTATATATATATATATATATATAAATTAAAGTTTATTTAAATAACTCCTTCTTTATTAATTGAAATGAGATTAATAATATTCAAAATTTTAAAAAACTAGATATAATTCCTAGGAATAAACAAATACAATGTTATAAGGGTATATATCTATAAAATATATTAATATTAAGAAAGACTTCTATTATGTCCCCAATTACTGTTTAATCAAATAAGAGAAAAGTAGAGTTTAATTAAAAAAAGAAAAAGAAAAAAAAAGAAGAATGAATATCCTTTAATAAAAATAAATATCAATATAAAACCAAATAATTCTAAAAAATTCATTTAATACTAATAATTATAATTTTAAAAACAAGAAATAGCTAAAGTCTTTTTTTATTAATAAGAATAAAAATAAAAATAATTATTTAGATTATTTCTCAAATTGAACTAGAGATTTATAATATAGTATCAGATATTCAGAAGTTTTTTAAAAATTATAGAAATACTCTAAATTAATATTTTAATATTGGGACTTTCTATAGTATTATATAAAATCCCTATATTCTATATATATTATTAGAATGTAATATAAGATCTTTTTTGATAGATTTAACTTTAAAGAAAGCTTAATTATATAAATAAGGTTCTATTTATTATATATATTTAAAAGAATAGGTTATTATTTCTTTTATTAAAACAACTTTATTTAATTATAAAACTCTTTAATTATAATTCTTATTCTATTAATAATAGATATTAAAACAAACTCTAGATTTCAAATAGATTTATAAATCATAAGATTAATAAGCTTATTAATAATCTCATTTCCTTTAATATCTATATACTTAGGGGATTAGTAAACTTTAATATTGAAAATCTATATAGTATCTTAATAAATATGAAAAGATTATTAAAAGAAATTGGATATATTAATATATAAATATTAAATTATTAATATACGAGCTTTTTCTCGGCCCTTTATGGTTAAAAATAACAATAGTTTTATTACTATTCTCTATAGTTATTTTTAATATTATTTAAAACCTATATTTATATTTATATTATATAGCCTTTAGAACTCTAAAAATAAATAAGATTCATATTCTTATATTCTATCAAAATGTGAATTTTGAAGTTATTCAGAGATTATAAGCTTTTTGAAGTAGTGGTCCTTGTACAGGCTTAACTGGGGTAGTAGTAGTAGTAGTAGTATTTATTAATATTCATCAAGCTGGCTTAAGGCTAACCCTGGGAATCTTCTAAGGGGTATAGGGATATATTAAGCTATGGATTTATTTAATATTTTAGAAAGCAATTTATATATATAGGGGTTAGGGCTTATTTGAATAACTTCTTTTTTGTTAATTGAGATAGGGTTAGTAGTATTTCAAGATTTTAAAGAGCTAGATATAGTTCTTTAGGAATAAATAAATATAATGTTATATAGGTATGTATTTATATAAAATACTAATAATATTGAGAGAAGCCCTTACTGTATCCCTAATTATTATTTAATTAAATAAAAGAAAAATAGAATCTATCTTAGAAGAAGAAAAAAAAAGAAAAAAGAGAGAGGAAAATGAATATTCTTAGTAAGGATAGATATTAATATAGAATCAGGTGATTTCGAAGAATTTGGCTAATACTAATAATTATAATATTAGAAATGAAAGGTAGCTAAAGTCTTTTGCTATTAATAAGAATAAAAATAAAAGTAGTTATTTAGGCTATTTCCTAAATTAAGCTAGCGATTTATAGTATAGTATTAGATACTTAGGAGTTTTCTAATAGCTATAGAAGTATTTCAAGTTAATATTTTAATACTGGAATTTTCTATGGTATTATACGAAATCTCTGTATTCTGTATATATAGTTAGGATATAGTATAATATTTTTCTTGGCAAATCTAATTCTAGAGAAAGCTTAATTATATAGGCAAGATTCTATTTGTTATATATACTTGAAAAAGTGGATTGTTGTTTATTCTATTAAAATTATTCTATTTAATTATAAAGTCCTTTAATAATAATTCCTATTCTATTAATAATAGATATTAAAATAAGTTCTAGATTCTAGATAGATTTGTAAGCTTTGAGATTAATAAGCTTATTAATAGTTTTGTTTTCTTTAATATCTATATATTCAGGGGATTAATAAACCCTAATATTGAAAATCTATATAATATTTTGATAAATATAGAAAGCTTATTAGAAAAAGTTGAATATATTATTATATAGATATCAAATAATTAATATATTATTAATATAAAGTTATAAATATTATTTATTAAATAAAGGAATTCTTAAAATATATTTAAAGTTTATATAAATTCTAATTACTTTTAAATTGAAAATATACAAAGGATTATTAATTAAATTTAAGCTAATAATTATTTACTTTTTATTTTGATATATTATATATTTATACCTAATAAGCCTTTTTCTATTAATAATTTATTTAAAACTATTTGAGAAGATTAAAATCTTATCAGAAAGAAAATAAGATTATTATTTTTTAAAACTAATAGCTATTATTTTCTTATTAATATTCTTTATTAGATTTATTCAATATTTTAAAGAAAAATATAGAGATTATAATATGAAATATATAATACTAAAAAGAATTATTCCTAAATATTGAATTTTGATTTTAGATTTCTATTATTAGCCAGTATCCTTATTCTTAGTAATAAATAGAGATATAATTTGATAGATTATAAAATAAAAGATATTTAATAATTAGATATATATAATAAAACAAAATATAATTTTGTTTAATATTATATTAATAAATAGAATATTTATATCTTAAAAAGAATAATTATTAAAATAGTTTTTTATATAGAAAATATATTTTTAAATATTAAAACGAATATTTATTCTAACAGATCAATATACTAATCTACTTAGGAAGAGATAGTAAGATTATAAATAATATATTAAATATAAAATAATTTTATTCTATTATCAAATTATATTTTGATTTTATATATAAAAAAGAAATAATATAAATAATAATAGTTTTATATAAAGCTAAAACTAAAGAGCTATTAATTATTTTTATAAAACTATAAATATAATATACTACTATTTAAGTTTTAATAATCTTTATAATAATATATCTCTTAAAAAGAGTTTTTTATTAAATTAGATTTTAAGTTATTTTAAAGTAAATTATATTTCATTTTTAATTATAATAATTAATATAATAATAAACTTTTTATTAATAATATAGGAAAAAATATAATCTTCTTTTTTTTTAATAAAATAAATTATTTTGAGTTTTTTAAGAATAAAAATAATTTTATTATTATTATTCTATTCAAAAATCTTTCTTATATTATTTGTTAGGGTAAGAATATTAGAATTTAGAAACTGAAAAGTCTAATATAGGTAAAGATTATTAGTATATTCAAAATATAGTTTTGTATTTTATAATATAAGTTTAATTAAATATAATATATATAAAACTAAAAAGAAAGAGAAACTCTAAGGTATTTTATATTTAATCTTGTAATTAGATATAATTAAATTCTCTAAACAAACTTGAATAAATTAATTAATAAAAAAGAATTCGATTAACCTTAAAAAAACTAGAAATTAATTTTATCTAATTATTCTTTTTAATAATCTTTATTTTAGAAATATATTAAAGATACCTTAAATATTTATAATAATTATAATAACTTTCAATTTTTAAGAAAAAACAGTTTTTATATTATATATAAAATAGATTATTAGATTTATAATAACTTTTTTAGGGAGGGCTTTTTTATATTATAGGTTAAAAATACTATTAGTTAGTATAATCTATATTAAATAATAAATTATAATTTTCTTCAGATTTTTTAAAATATAAGAAATAAATATAATTAATTACTTAAAATAAATAAAGAATTTATTCTTTTTATTGATTTTAAATAATATAGTTATTTTAATAAATTTCCAGACTTATAAAAAGAAATTGAATATTAGATATTAATTATAAAGTTTATATAAAGTATTATTAATTATTAATTAATAGATCTTGAATATTTATATTATAATACAATTTATATCTGAAAAGATATTAGAAATTCTAATAATATTATATTCAACCTTTTCTATTAAAATAAATTGAAATTACTCTAGAATATCCAATCTATTTTAGTTTTTAAAAAGATTATATTCGAGATTATTAAAAGTATTGAAATAATTGAAAATCTTTTTATATAAAATCTCAATTTTTTTATAATATCTTTAATAAGGTTTTTATTAATATATAATAAAAATAATTTTAAATTAAACTTTAATTTATATTAATTAATAATTCTATAAAGTTTTTTATTATTTTTAATTCTATTTATAATATTTTTTAATAATTATATTTTGCTTATTAAACTATATTATAAAAGATTTGAATTATTTAGAAAATATTCTTTTTTAAATATTATATTTGCAAAAATAATTCTGATATACCTTTTTATATTTAAAGATTTATTATAATATAGTTTTATTATTTTTCCTATTAGACTTATTAATTATATAAATAACAATATTTATTATTATAATAAAATTAATTATATATATTTTAATTACTATTTCATTTATAAAGAAATTTTTT